CTCACCCTTGCAATCCTCCTGCCTCAGCCTCTCAAATTCTAGGATTACAGCTGTGTGCCACCAAGGCTGGCTTTTATTCTCGTATCTCTAATTGTAACTTTTGGGTTATGGTTTTTTAAAAACCCCAAGTTTCCCTCAACAGGTGATACTATTATTTAAAACAGAAAAGAAAGAAAGAGAGAAAGAAAGAAAGAAAGAAAGCAGAGTTTTTAGCTTACTTAAAAGTTTAAGAGCTCCTAAGTCCGGTAACTTTCCAAGTGTGGATAGAGATTGTTTATTCACAGAGACCAGCACATTTTCTGCACAGCCCTAGTCTTTTCTTGGCCTGCTGTGTAAGTGCTGGGCAGCAGGTAGAAAGAAAACTCTGGAGTCCACACAATAAACCAGCTCAAGGGAAGTACAGGAGCACACTGGTTGAAATTGCAGGCAGGCCTTAGGAGCGGCTGGAACCAGGGACCTAACCCTATCAGGGCTCTGGGTTTCTCATATCTGCTTTGACCTGGGGGAGTCCTGTTTTTTTTCAAACTGGACTTTTCGTGAGGCAAAGGCCCTGGCCCTGGAAGATCTGGATGCACACCCTCAGCCTTTGTGACTGAGGAAGAAGGGAGCTCCTCGCTCCTGTATCCATTCTAAATCCTGGGGGGGATGATGAAGGCTACCCGTGCCCACTCCTAGGACCAATTTCTCGCCAGAAGTGGCAGGAACATGCAGTTAACGTAGCTAAGAGGGTAGAATCTGTTAGCAACAGAACAGGGGAAAGGGTGCTGGGCACTCCCAACAGAAGGTGCGCTCTATACGTTCCTTCTGAGAGCCGCTCTTTCCCTCCACCCCAGGGAGACCGGCCCATCCCCTCGCTGCACTGGTTGTTAGGCGTGAGCTGCTGCCGGTCCACGAGATCCCTTTCCTAGGAATTAAGACTGGAGCTGGAGATGCCAACTCCATTCGGCTACTTGCTGGTGCTGAGTAACTGTCGGTGGGGCTACTTCTCCATGAGGATAGCAGATCCGAGGAACAAAAAGGATGGATCACACACAAGAGAAAAAAGAAGCTTCAATCCACAGAGGAAAGCGGATGCCGAGGGCTGCACTTTCTGCCAGTTCTTCCCCATCTCCCTCGACATAGCCCAGCTCTGCTGCTTAGCAAGCACGTCAGAGAGGTACCCGACCTTCACACGTCTGTTTCCACGTCCATAAAAAGGAAACGGTAACAGCATCTAGAACGTAGAATGACAAGAAGTTGACCCGGTAGGACGCAGTGCCTGGCATGTGAAACTGAACCCGTGTTAACCATTACTCATAGTGGGAGAAGGCAGTAGCACTGGGGAGAAGCGCTACCTCCTCAGAGAGACGGATCAGGGGCGATGTGCCCACCAGGCTCCTATCCCGGCTTGTTGGAAGTGCTGCGTGGAATCCCCGGGCCAGCACTCCGGATGCCAGGCTGCCAGAGGCGATAATAAGGCCCTCCTTTCAGAAGGCTGCGCGCTACTCAGTGCTTGCATTCAAGTGCAAAGACAATACCGCCGCCTCAGACGTGTTCAAATGCACTCTTGGTTTGGTGTTTGCGGTGCTGGGGCTCAGACCTAGGCCCTGTGCATGATGGCAAGTGCTTTAGCACTGAGCCTCACCCGGCCCTCAGACGCTCGGCTGTACAATGTGAAACCTGGGTGTATCAACATGTACATATAAGGAAATGCCCTGCATGTAGTAGAATCTGCGTCACAGACTCTTTAGAATGCAAGTTCCCTGTAGTACGCACGCATGGGCAAAACCAGCGACACTCTTGAGAGCAAGGAAAAACCAAGGGCTAAGAAGGGTCAAGTGACACATGCCTTTAAGGGAGCATCGTGCCTGTCACGTAACAACGCGTTTGGAGACACCGCTGTGTGTCTGGAAAGCCGCGTCAGCTGCTTTCTCACCGGTCCTTCAGCGGACTCTAGCAGCAGCTAGGTTCATGCAGTAGACAGCTAACACAGTAGCATGGTTATTAGTTTATTTTCACTTCAATTAATGTGTGTTGGGGAAGAGGTGGAAAGGAATGGAGATAAAGATTAAGAATAAAAACGAGAAACAGATTTTTTTTTTTAAAGACAGGTTTGCTATATAGCCCAGGCTGGCCTTGAACCCATAATCCTCCTGCTTCAGCCTCCCACATGCTAGGCCTACAGGTGTGTGCCACCATGCACAGCTAAAGCATGAAGTATTTCAGAAAAACATAAAAGCAAAGTGGAAAAAAAAAAACCACAAAAGGAAACTGAAGCCTGTTGGTACTTCCTTCCTTTGCAATTGTATTCCTGACCGCCAGCAATAACACACATTCAGATCTCCTTCCTGGAGAGTGAGCCACTGGGGCCCAGGACCCCGGCCTGGGACATCTCTGTCCCCCTGAGATGCTCGCCCCTGTGCTTGACCCAACCTGAGACCGAACTGTTTCCACTTTCCTACTGAATGAGAAAGACCTAACAAGCAAGGTTAACAGTTAACAAGACAAGCGTCTGAGGGTCGGGGCTGGAACGTGTCCAGACTGACATGACCTGGAGCGTCACTGGAGGACCTCACAGATGAGAGGAGAGTCATCTGTGCCTGAGGTGAGACTGCAGGAAGCTTCTGCAGGGCGCACGCTGCCACGGAAATGCAGTGGCTGAGGCTGGTGGTGCTTTGTTTCTGTGAAACTAGAGTTTCCACAAGAAGGCTCTTTGCTAAGTGAGGTCTCGTCTGCTCTTCTGGTGAGCAAATTAACATACTGCTACAGGACTCTTGGGACATCTGACATTTATGTTACGCCCATTAGAAGCAGTCCAAACCCATTTCACAGACACTGCTTCCTGGCAAAGCATGCTGAGTCCTGTGGACACTCACGGTTCATCAGCAGACACAGCTCCGAGGTCCATTCCCTGTCACCAGGACACTGAGGCAACCATGTTCCCCTTCCTTCTGATGACTCTTCCCCGGGCAGGCACTCCCTCCACCTCTTGACACACCCAGGGCTCCCCATCACTACCAGCTCTGCACCCTGACTGCTGGGGCTCCTGGGGTCCAGCCACGGCCCTGCTTCAAGTCTGCATAGCACCCCGAATCCAGGCAATACGCCCTTTCCTCAAGAGGGCACACACTGCACTTATCCCTACTGCTTGTGGTCCAAACCTTCTACTGGCTCATTTGCAAATGAATCCGTATCATTTATTTATTTATTTATTTATTGTCATTTTGAGACAGAGTTTCGCTATGAAGCCCAGGCTGGTCTTAACTTTGCAGAGATCCTCCTGCCTCAGCCTCCCGAGTGCTGGCACATCATTTAAAATTATTCTGTTCCATGGATTCTAGTCAAGTCAAACTACAGTGTCAGCTGAACCAGAGATTAGTGTACAGGTTTTCTATCTGAGAAGGATCTTCCTCCAGACTTGACCACCCTGGAAGACAATTTCTGGCACTCTTTTTATCTCCTCTGGTCCCCTTCATTCTGTTCTAATTTCATCCAATATATTCGCTAACCTGTTAAGGGCAGATGGAGTTCACATAGTTACATTAAAGACCTGCGTTTTCCACTTTACTGAGTCTGACGACAGATAACGTCTTCTCAAAGGCCTGTTCATCTTCCATTTCCCTCCTCCTCCCTTTTCAATACTGGGAATTGAACACAGGGCCTTCACATTGGCTACATCTGCACCCCTTATTTTTACTTTGAGACAGTGTCTCCCTAAACCACTTAGGCTGAGCACGGATTTGTGATCCTCCTGCTTCAGCCTCCCAGAGTGGGATTATGGGCATGTGCTACCATGCCCAGTTTACTGATTACTTTTTAAGGATGTATTAATGAGGACAGTTAGACCCTCATTTCTAGGTTTCTAATGATGAACACACACTGATACACTAGTCACATCTTTCCATAGTTTTGTTCCACTTCACTGCAAAACAAAACAAAAAAATAAAAAAGCCTGCTTCCACGGTCAGTGGCTGGTGGGCCGCTGCTAAACTAAAGCAGCCATGTTGTCTGACAGAGGTGTGTCCAGTGGATCCAGGTTCTTGTCCCCGGTTCAAAGAACTGAGTGGGAGCCGTGGGAGCGCACCCCTGTAATCCCAGCACTCGGGAGGCTGAGGCAGGAGGATCATTGCGAGTTCAAGACCAGCCTGGAAAAAAAAAAAAAAAAAAGACCAGCCTGGGCTACAAAGTGAGCTCAAGGCCAGCCTGAACTGCATAGCAACACCCTGTCTCAAAAAGACCAAAAAAAAAAAAGAACTGAGTGGGACAATCCACGAACTTGAAAGTTTAACATCTCTTTAAAGATGAAAGAAGTGCTCTGAAGATACGTCCTGCATGTAAGACAGGCCAGGACAAGCACAAGCAGGCAATGTCAGTGAAGTCACTGGTCACTGCCTTTTAAATTTCTTGGCCCATGCAGGCCTTCCAAGCTGTTCTGAGCATGCATTTTGAGTGACTGACGACTGACAGCTCTCCGTGACTGATAGGTCAGGTCTGGTTGTCTAGCCTTGATTTTCCACGCCCTAATCTGCCTCAGCCAGCACTCAGGTCACCTGATGTCTAGGTAAAATTGCTCTTGACCTGCGCTAGGCTCAGTGCTAAGTGCATTACACAGCCTTCACCTTTTAACCCTCACCACAACCGTGTTAGATAGGTACCATTATTGTCCCCATTTTATAGATCAGAAAACTGGGGCTTGGGGAGGTTGTCACTCATCCACAAGCACCCAGCTACTTTGTGGGATGTAGCTTCCACTTGTGTTTGTAAACTGAGTAAATGAAGTAAAAAGAGGCAAACCGAGTAAGAAAAGAAGAAAAAGTGAAGGCAGCAGGGCCTCCTTTTCCGCTTCCTCCCCTTAGGACCCGTTCAAGCGCGCTGCCTAGGCGCCTCCCAGCGGCCATCTCTCTGCAACGACGCTTCCGGCTTCGGAAAGCGTCACTGTGAGCGCCCTGAGACGGCACCGGTCGCGCGCGCGCGTGTGGCGTACGGCGGGGAGGCGGGACTTCCTGTTCTCACCGCAGCTATTTCCGGCGACTGCCGGAAGACGCTCCGGGTTGGCCTCTGGGGCGGCCTGCGTGTGGGGTGAGCGCTGGAGCGGCCGGCCTTTCCGCGCCCGCCGGTCGCCACATGGTGCGAGCAGCGGCCGCCGGACCCCACTCGGATCGGCGGCGCTGAGGCGCCGGGGCAGCGTGCGACATGTCGTCGGGGCTCCGCGCTGCCGACTTCCCTCGCTGGAAACGCCACATCGCGGAGGAGCTGCGGCGCCGCGACCGGCTGCAGAGGCAGGCGTTCGAGGAGATCATCCTGCAGTGTGAGCCGCGCGGGCGGGCGGGCCCCCGGCACCTCGCGGCTCGCGCTCTGGAGCCTGCCGCTCCGCTCGCTTTGCCGTCGGGGCGTCGTCGGGGAGGCCCTTGGGCGTCGGTGTCCCGGCGGGCAGGCCTCGCCGGCTCGTGGAGCTCGGCAGCCCGCCCGGTGCTCTGCCCCGACGCAGGCAGACGCCGGAAGCAGCCCGGGGAGGGGGTCGCGGAGTGCCGCGGGCGTTGAGTTGAAGTAGTAACTCGCCGAATTCGCGTCGACTTCTGAATGCCGCAGGACGTGTAGCCCTTGATTCTTCAGGCCTCTTTGTTCTGTGGTTTTCAGACCTCATTTCTTTGTTGAGTATACATCCCGAGCCTTAATATGCGGTGTTTAGTTGGAACGTGGTCTTTACTATTATTGAAAACTTCGAAAGTTTGTTTCACAACGTAAGGGAACTGAGTTAGGTGGATGATGGCGTTTCAGAACGGCAATTCCTATTGGTGGAAGTCTCATTGTGCAAAATCAGTTCCTAAATGTAATTGCATTTTAATTAATTAATTTATTTATATTTGGGTCATTTTGAGACAAGGCCTCTCTATGTAGTTCAGACTGGCCTTGAGCTCACTTTGTAGCGCAGGCTGGTCTCGAACTCGTAACGATCCTCCTGCCTCAGCCTCCTGAGAGCTGGGATGACAGGCGTGAGCCACCACACCTGGCTCCACGTACTCTTCAGAGCCCCTGGGAGACCAGTGTTTCACAGGCACAGGAATTCCCTCTTACTCAAAATGTGATTCCCTCACAGGTTATACAAATTCAGTTCACAGATGTTAGTGAACGCTTGCTCTTCAAAGGACTAGAACCCTTTAAAGTGAAGTCGGGTTGGAGGCCCAGGTTGCCCCAACTAACTTCTTGGCATCTATAAAATGGGGATGAAGCTTGCCCTGACGGCCTCATAACGCAATGCTTTGTCTATAAGTGCTTTGAAAGCCATCTCTAATAGTCTGTAAATGTAAGATGCTGCAACCTCTTAGACACAAACTGCATGTTTTTCTGCGCTTCAGAAGTGGACGTCACGATGGTGTAGCAGTCTGAACACGTGCACAGAGGGGAGCTGTATGCACATGCCTGTAATCCCAGCTGTTTGGGAGTTGAAGGCAGAAGGATCACCACAGCAAGACCCTATCTCAAAATTTAAAAAGAGGGCTGGGGTTGTGCCTGAGTGGTAAAGTGCTTGCCTCTCAAGCCCTAGTGCCATCCAAAAGCAGTCAGGTGGAGAGAAGACATCAGTAATCAGTCAGCAGGAGACTAGTGCGTAATGGGGACCTGCGGGCGCAGCAGAGAAGACAGAAATAAGAAACAGGGCAGGAGAGCAAGGCAGCTTGGGCCCGTTGGGATCATCTGTTTAGGCCAGGGGCTTTAACTCCTCTGTTCTCTCAGAGCAGCCTATCCGAGCCAGTCAGGAAAAAAGCCTAAAACAAGCACAAGGTAGTCCATTTTGAAAATCTTACTAGAACCCTTTGGGGCTGGATTTGAAACCTTTTTCTTGGTTACACTATCCCAGGGTGGGACCACTTTCCGGAGCTGAATGGATCCATTCAACCAAGATAGAAAAAAAGTGTTTCTCCTAAGAGTTCCGTATTTAGGTATCAAGGAGGATCCAGGACCCAAGATTCATTCTTGCTTGCTTGCTTTCTTTTTCTTTCTTTCTTTCTTTCTCTTTTTTTAACCCAAGATTCTTTCTAATCCATGAACTCTTTCAACAGGAAGAGTTAATTAGCATAAGCCCTGTCAAAATTTTGTTCTAAAGCATCCAATCTCAACAATCAGGATTTGGAAGCACCTATAAGGTCCTCATGGTCCTTTTCTTGTTCAGCTCAGTGCTGTTTGGGCTTAGAAGATGATACCTCAAGGGTACTTCAACCAGCTAAGCTGGAGAAAGTTTCAGAATCCAGGTCTCCCTGATATCCCCTTCCTTCCCTAGGCACCAAGAGGGGCTCTTATCAAACTGAGAAAATGTCACCAGAAGAAATGACAGTTGTTTTCAGCTCCCTCCTTAGGAATCTCATCTACTAACTCTGGAAGGATTCATCACTGAGAAGGGGAGAGACTAAAGTCCACACCCAGATAGGCTTTTATCTATTCTCCTGAGCATCTGGAGATTTTCTGGGAGACATTATTTCTAACACAATTTGCTGTTTGTTTGTGTAATAGGACTCTACTCTGTGCCTTCCCTATAACCCTGTCTTCTATAAAGAAGAGTGAGCTTCAACCACCTGGCCACTGTTGTCAGTTATATATTTTGTATGATTCCTCATTAATTTATTGTGCTTTTTCTCTTTTTTGTCTTCTGTGATAGGGGCATAGCCATGCCCCTTCATTATGGGTAGGAAAGGGTCCACCTCACTCCTGTTCTTCCAGTGCCCTTCCCCAAGTTCTTCCCTCCTGTGTTCTTTGCTCAGTTGTGTAAGCATAGAATCTTGGGGTATTCTTTGACTTCTTGCCAGTTCAAATCTATTCATGTAATAGCTCTTACAGTCTTCCATTGCCAGTTAAAAGGAAATTTCTCATCTTCCCCATCCATATACTGGTTCCAGTGTTGATTTCCAGCCACTTACCAGGACAGCTCTCTGCTGTTCCTTGTCTCTGGACCATTGTCTTTTAACACTGAACTCAGATGTCACTACCTCTGAAACCATCTGCGCAATGAGAACAGAATCATTCTGCCCTGTATCTTTTTTATAATTGACCACATTAGATCAGAACTCCTTCATGTTGGGGACTCTTACTTTGCATTTGTATTCCCAGTACCCTGATCTAAAAAGTACTTACCATATTACAATAAAGTTCTGTATTACAGAATTGTAATTCTGTATTGTACCATATTACAATAAAGTATTACAGAATTGTAATTCTGTATTGTACCATATTACAATAAAGTTCTGTATTACTTAAAGGTATATAGCACTTCATGCTGCTGTTGCATTTGGTGTTTTAAATCCTGAGGTAAAAACATAACTTTGCCAGTGAAAAGCAATTTGAACTCCCTTTGGTAGAGGGGACGCATATAGGTATTTATTTGTAGATTTCTATGGCTGGGGCGCTCAAGCTTAGACTACTCCTTAGGCATCTAAGGAATGAGTGTTCCTAGATTTTATGTATTCACTGTAATAGGTGACAAGGAGTAACTCATCCTTTGCTGTCTAATAAAGGTGAACCCTACCTAGGTCATCTACCATCTGTTATAGGATAGACCTATGGTATAACAAGTAACGCACCATCTGACCTTTTATGTACATACAGATAACAGGTTGCTGGAAAAGTCAGATCTTCATTCAGTATTGGCCCAGAAACTACAAGCCGAAAAGCACGATACACCAAATCGACATGAAATAAGGTATTTTGAAACTAACCTTAAATTAATATTGCTATGTTTTAAATTAACCTTGTATGTGAAATTTATCTCATTTACTTGTCACTTCTCCAAAAGCAAACCAAGTAACTAAAATTGTTCAGAAGATACATGCAAACCTAGAAGGCTTAACAGTACAGTACTCTCAGCTTGAGAAATTTCTTAAGGCGGGTTCGTGTGGTAAACCTAGATCAGGTTCTCTTCTAACTCACCAGGCTTTCACTTCTTGAATAATCAGAGGCAGGTATTCCTGAGTAAATTTACAGAGCTCTTGTTAATACAGAGTCGACGGACAAACACAAATTGCTTTTTGTCTGCTGTGGTTCTTTTTTTTTTTTTTTTTTTTTTTTCTCCGGTACCAGGAACCGAACTCACGACCTTGCGCTTGCCAGGTAGGTGCTTTGCCGCTGAGCTAAATCCCCAGCCCTGCTGTGGTTCTGTTTCGATCCTTTTTAGCCTGGTGTTTTTTTCAACATTAACTTGTGGAATCGAATCCATGGGTTGCAGCAAGATTTTATGTTTCTTCTAAGAATAGTTTAGAAATGAATATCAATATGTTTTAATAGGAAGGGTGAGTCTTGTTACATTAAATAGATGTATGTTCATATAGGGTATTTTGTATGTTTACTGGGTCATTTGTGTATATTTTCTGTATTTTTCAAAGGTCACGATCCCACAATCTGAAAGCCACACTTCCTCAAAGCCACATAAATGGGGTTGCACGCTCACCTTTTTTTTTTTTTTTTTTTTTTTTTTTTTTTTCACAGGGTGGGAACCGAACTCACGACCTTGCGCTTGCCAGGCAGGCGCTTTGCCGCTGAGCTAAATCCCCAGCCCCCCCTTTTTTTTTTTTTTTTTTTTTTTTTTGTCTTTTTGAGACAGGGTCTCACTATGCAGTTCAGGCTGGCCTTGAGCTCACTTAGTAGCCCAGGCTGGCCTCGAACTCACAACAATCCTCCTGCCTCAGCCTCCCGAGTGCTATTCCCCTAATGTTTATGATGTGTGTGTATTTGGTCGTTTGTATGGGAACAGTGTCTACTACTGCTCTGAAGTCTATATTCTTCTTCACACATTGGGTAACACTTAGCAATTGTGAAACAAGGTTGGTAATTGAAGGCTTAAAAACAAACGGCAGGCATGGCCTGATTTCATTACTCCTATACGTGAGTTTGCTGTGTGGCTGCCCATCCTCATCCCTCCATGTTTCGTCACCGGGCGAGATGGCCTCCTGGGAGGTGACAGAATGGGAAGAGACCCAGAGCGCAGTGTCCTCCGCCCAGCCTGTGTTCTGTTCTCGCTGTCGGTTGAGGAGGTGCTGCCTGGCTGTGGCTCTGGGGGCATTCTGTAGTGTCTAAGAGGCTAGTGGCAGTGTTCAGCTAGATTTACGTGTAGCAGGGCCTTTGGTGATTATTCATAGATCAAACACATTTGCTTGGAAGGTGTTACAAATAAATAAGCAACAGTTCCTGTAACTGAATCTCACTGGGCTGCCATTTCGTTGGAAGTCCTTTGCTCCCTCAGACATGACCCATGGTGAGTCTGTCCTCCTGATGGCCTCATTTGCATTAAATGGTGTCCTCATTTTCCACGAGTCATCTAGGTTCCTTTTTCTCTCGATATTCTACCCCTCCCTGTGTGCAGTCACCTTGGCTGTTGGTTCTTCTTTCCCCAGTCTGGGCTTGCGTTCATTTCACTGCCCCCCACCTGTCATTCCTGTTCTGTAGTGAGAGTCTCGCTGGTGGGTTTTAATTGACTGTCTATCTAATGTAATGTAACATACATCTATTTAATGTAACGAGATTCTCGCTGGTGGGTTTTAGGGCGAGGTATCTGGCTCACAGAGGTAAGGAAGCCCAAGTGCACTCTGGGGAAGAACAGCTCACCCAGTGAGTTTCCTTCCTCCACCCTGTCTCTCCTAAGCTCATGCCCATTTCATTCTAGTTTCCTTAAACTTAATTTTGAGGTAGGGACTCCCTGTGTTGCCCAGGCTGGCTTTGAATTCCTGAACTTAAGTCATGTCCCTATATCAGCCTCTTGAGTGTCCTGAGCTACAGTCCAGTGCCGCCCCGCCCACCGCCCTGTCTTCTATGTGTGGTTCCTGGCCACCCGCATGTTCCCGGGAATATCTTAGAAATGTAGCTCCCTGGTTTCACCCTGCCCTGCTGGAGCTTTCTGAGATCCCAAGCTGATTCCTGTGACCTCTCCACTGAGACCAGCAGTCTCCTGAAGACCTGGGAGCGAGGCTCATTGTCCTTGGTGGCTCTGAGCATGGAGTGGGCTGTGCCCTTTCTCTCTGTCTCTAGCAGTTCAGCTGAGTGGTGGGTCTTGTACCTTGAAGTTGAAGGGGCTGATCAGGTCCTTAGAGCCCTCTACTTGATTTTATCTGATTGCCCATTCTTAGGACATTCTCCTGCATTCCCTCTTCTCCAGCCTTTCTCAACTGTCCTTGAGTACAGTTAATACTTTGGGATGGATTTATTTATGTTTGTTTTTGTCTTTTTGAGACAGGGTCTTGCTATGCAGTTCAGGCTGGCCTTGGGCTCATTTTGTAGCCCAGGCTGGTCTCCAACTCTAAACGGCCTCCCGAGTGCTGGGATTACAAGCGTGTGCCTCCACCGCCGGCCAGCTTTGCATTTAAATAAAGAATTTGATGAGATACTTTCTGATCTCTTCCTAATTTAGGACAGTTTCATTTTAAAATTTGTTCACTTTCTGCTCTCTTGGCCTCTGCTTCCTGAGCTAAGGTTAGGGCAGTCCCAGTCTGTCTCAAAGGGCATGGTGTCATTTGTGTTTAGGTATGGGAGATAAATTTAGCAAAGATTTTTATACTGCTCATTTGTTCCCTTTTTGTGGCGGGATAGCTCAGATAGAGTGGATCCCTTTTTCTTCAGACCTGGATATCCTGCTGCCCAGCCTTTTCTCCATTGCTGAGCTTTTCCAGGGCGATAGAGTCACTGGCTCAGTGTGGTCTGACATGCTCATCTGAAGCTCCAGCCAAGACCCTTCTCCCGAGCCACAGTCAGTTATGGTGGTCAGCCCCAGTCTCTAAAGACAGAGATCTCTGGAGGAGAGGAGTGTATGGAGCAGTCACAGGTGGGAACCAGAACGGAAAGGCACCCAGGAGTAGGACACCTTCTCACAGTATCAGCAGCGGGGAGGGGTCAGTCGCAGTTGGCAGATGTCCTCTGGCCAGAGCGAAGAGCATTTTGTGTAGACTTCGGAGGAAACTGGCAGCTGCATGGGAGAGCTTTGGGGTAGCAGGGCAACCCCTCCCCAGAATTAATTGCTTCTGGACTGGTGAGAGGTCGGAAGTCCAGAGGGGTGAGAGGTGAACAAGGTGGGGTGGTCTGCTGGGATGAATTCAAGTCAAGGTTTCAACATAAAAATGTTCTGCCTGCAGCTGTTAACTGATTAACTTTCCTTATCTCTTTCCCCTCCACCCTCTGGCCTTTGTAATTTAAGATCTCAGATTTTTCTTTATCTTAGTCTCCTGTTTCTGAGGTATGGTGTAAATTCTTGGCACAATTTCCAAAACCCAGTTGGCTCCAAAGCCATCTGAATTTCCAAGGTTTCGGGGCCAAAAGTATTGTCTCACTGCCTCCACTGCCACCGCCGTGGTGTGAGCACGCCCTCTTGCGACGGGGCTACACACTGGCTGCTAACGGGGCTCACTGCATCTGCGCAGGTGCCCCCGGTCTACTCCACACCCTCAGCAGTGTGTGGGCAACTCAGCCCCCTCCCCACCTCCTCGGCCTCAGCTCCTTCCTCCTCTGCACCTGGCCTGTGACCTTCCTCCAGCACATCAACCCTCTGCCTCCTTCCAGTATACACACACACACACCGTTTGTGTGACCTGTCACACAAACACTTTCTGGTCTCTGGTCACCTCTCTCTTCCTCGTGGAAGCCTTCCTTGACCCCTCTTCCTGGAACACATCTCTGCTACTCCGTTCCTTCCCCACTCACTTGCTCTGCAGCACATGACTCGAGCTTGTGCCTGTCTGCTGACTGTCCATCTGCTCTGTTTGGCTGGCAGCTGCATGGGAGCTGGGTGGCTGCCTTCGCCTCGGTGCCAGCAGCGCCTGGTACGTGGCAGGCACGCCAGCCTTTGGCAGAGCTCAGACTCGCTGCCGGCTCAGGTTTACCAGTGATACGGGGACGATGCAGGACCTGAACAGCGTAAGGGAGATACACCTCCCAGCCTGCTGGATGTCCCGTACACTGAGTTCGTGTTCTCTAAGATTAAAGAATGAGTTCTAGGAACAGCAGGGGTTAAGAGTACTTACTGAGAGAAAGAAAGCTTCTAAGGAAACGGGGAGGGTCCCAGGTGGGTAGCCAGGGATCCCTGCTTTTCAAGGGAGTTTTTTAGAGCAAAACCAGAGTGAGGTGGGCCCAAGGTGGGCACAGAACTGTAATCCACCAGTAAGATCACAGATATAGTTGCTTAGGTAATGAATTTTTCAATGGGAAATTACAAAGTAGGTGTGAGGTAGGACAAAAGTATGATTAACTAATAAGATTACAAGTGTAGTCACTTAGGTAATACTGATTAAGTGGGGATCAGATGGGAAGCAGGTCCCGAAGCAAGCGTACATGGGAGGGACAAGGACTCCTGGGAGGGGTGGGTGAAGGAGGTTTGGTCCCCACCCAAGGCGGTTGGTGCCTGTGTAGAATATCAGTCTGCTGCCCTTCATGCCCAGGGGAAGTGTGCGGGCGGAGTCCTTCCTCTTTTTCTTCAAGCCTGGCCTTCAGTGAATGCGCCTCCAGCCACAGTTGTCTCCTGCAGTGCCCTCTGGAGGGCTGGCCCCGTCTGCCTGCCTGTAACACCCAGGCTCAGGAGCCTGCCCTTATCGCTGGCCCGGCAGTGGTGCTGTTCCTGTTTGGTTTCCTGTGCCACACGTCTCCTGCTTTCCACTGACGGTGTCTCAGAACTTGGTGCTGCGGGAGGCGCTAGACTGACTTTGGCTGTGTGGCTGTGTGCACATTTGAAATCCTAAGTTCTGTTCCGTTGCCTGATGACAAAGGTGTGGTCTGATTTCCTTTCTTTGCCGCATGTTCTCTTGGTCTGGCTGATGGTGACTTAGTCCTGGACACGATGGCACGTGGAATGACAGTCAGCTACAGGAAATGGCCCAGCTGAGGATTAAACACCAGGAAGAACTGACTGAATTGCACAAGAAACGTGGGGAGGTAAAGGCCACGCTTTTGCATCTGTCTTCTGCTCCCTGTGAGAATCCTGCCAGGGAAGACAGGAAAGCAGCCACCAAACCAGCCTGGCTAAGTTTGGCCCAAAGCTCTCTGAAGGGGTGAGAGGCCAAGGGAGACCACCAGGAAGCTCTAGGCCCCTCAGCAGGAGGCGAGCCAGACCCCCAGTCAGCAGTGAGGCAACTTGAGAACAGCGGGGCTGCCTGCCTGGTCACTGAAGAGCTTCCTCTGTGAAGCTTCTGCGTGTGAACCCTGGTGTTTAGAAAGAATCGAGTCTCACCTGTGCTCGCTGTAGATGAAGGTCTGTGGCCACGCTGCAGCTGGGGAAATGGAATTTCCCATCTGTCCAGCTGGGTCACTGGCAAGGCCAAGGAGTAGACAGGTGTCCTCTGCAGGGAGCAGCGGGCAGGTCCCATACACCTCCTGGCAGCCCCTTCCACTCTGCCACCACCCTCTTCTTGGTACCCTTGCCCAAACCCACACCTTTTCTTTCTTGAAAATACAGCATCACTTGCTGTATGACTTCCAAGTGAGGCCCGAAGGTCCCTTATTTATGAGTTTCTTTTATTTCCCAGTTAGCTCAGTTGGTGATCGACCTGAATAACCAGATGCAGCAGAAGGACAGGGAGATGCAGATGAATGAAGCCAAGTGAGTCGAGACTGGGCCTCCTCAGGGCCTGGCGGGAGGGGCAGGGGCGTCACGTGCTGTTGGGCTGTACGCTTGAGAAAGTAGCCAGTGGCAGGCAGTGGCGACATTGCACTCAGCAAGAGTCATTGCAGTGCCTGCAGGCTGGGGACCTTTCCTGCGAGCTCTAAGAAGGACACGGCAAGGCCCTAGACTCCTAGGGTAGTAGCCAAGGCCCTTGAAAGTGTCCGCGGGCATTCTCCGCTCTCCTGTGGCCACTGCATGGGGAAGCTAGCATCTTCCTGTGGTGGGGTTGAGCCCACGACATCTGAGCCCATGGCCCGTAGGATGAGTGGGGTCCTTCGGAGCAGGACCGTTTTTGATCAGGTAGAAACCTGGTGGATGAGAGACCAGGGACTTGGTGTCCTACCTAGAGCTGGGAAAACTCCCAAGTCCCGGTACCTCTGTGTAAGCACCCAAAGCTCCCCTTCCGGTCCTGCTTCCCCAGAAGCTGCTTTCGCTGGTCATGCGTGGTCAGCATGAATCTCGCCCCAGGTGTTTCCTAAAAGGATCGTCCTGCAGTGGTGGCCCATGTTCCTGCTCCTAGCCCAGGCCCACGCAGTTGGGCCCTGGCGAGGGACTCCTCCTCTCTTGTCGTGCTTTCAGAATCACGGAATGTTTGCAGACTATCTCTGACCTGGAGACAGAGTGCCTGGACCTGCGTAGCAAGCTCCAGGACCTTGAGATAGCCAACCAGACCTTGAAGGATGAGTACGACGCTCTGCAGATCACTTTCACTGCGCTGGAGGAGAAACTGAGGAAAACTACTGAGGAGAACCACGAGCTGGTCACCAGGTGGATGGCCGAGAAGGCCCAGGAGGCCAACCGCCTTAATGCTGAGAATGAGAAGGACTCCAGGTGGGCCTTGAAGCCGCTAAGCTAGGTGCAGCCTAGCTCTTTGAAAAGCAAAATACGGGGCTGGGGATGTAGCTCAGTGGCAGCACCTGCCTCCCAAGCTCAAGGTCCTGAGTTTGATTCCCAGTTCAGAAAAAAAAAAAAGACAGGGTCTGCAAAGAAAAGCACAACTTGTGGAGGAAGCCAGAAAGCACTAACAAAATTAGAAATAATCATAGTGGAAATGAAAGCAGATTTGCAATTGCAAGGACGCACTCCAGCCTGAGCAAAGGAATACCTACCAGGAGGGACGCTGGGCCTTCCAATTAGAAAGACGGGTGTTTTACCTTGGCCCTTCACATGACTGTGAGGCGGGTCTTCCCGCTACACAGGAAGGTTACTCTCACCTGCACGCAGAGGTGAGGTTCCTAATGAAATTCCTTACCATGTCATCTGATTTATTTGGGGTGGTGAGATGATGGTTTTTGTTTTCTCCTTTTACATTTGTCTATATTTTATAACTTTCTAACGTTCTTCTGTTTTTGTTTTGCTTTGTGGTGCTGGAAATTGAACCTGGGCCCTCAGACATGCTAAGCAAGCACTCTACCACAGAGCCACATCTCCAGCCTTTTTTTATCTATTTTAAGGCAGGATCTCGTTTTCTCCAGGCTGACCCCAAACTGGCAATCCTCCGGCCTCAGCTTCCTAAGCAGCTGGTAGTACAGGTGTGGGCCGCCATGCCTGGCTTGCAGCTCATGCCGTGGTATTCTCGGCAGGGCGAGGTTGGCTGGACGCCTCCAGTGGAGTTCACCACCCCAAAAGGCAGCAAGTGTGGGGGAGTGAGCAGGGCCAGTGGTTCTGAGGAAAAGCCCCCAAGCGTCACAGGCAGTCACGGGCAGTGGGGACTTTGTAAAGGGAGTTGTCAATCTGCTGTTCTTCCTCCCCTTGGAGTGTCTTCCAAGGCCTGCGCCCATGAGGTGTCGTGCAGGCAGGTCTAGGCCCAGAGCCAGAGTCCTGGTGGTCTTCCCACCCACAGCCTGTTCTCCGCCAGCGTCACCTCCGTGACCCCCTTTCTACTTCAGTAGCTTTTGTTCACCTCGTGCTGAACAGAGGGTATGTTTGGAAATAGCCCACAGCAGGCATGGTGGCTGCGGCACGGGATATGCTTGGAATGTAGGGGAAGCAGCAGAAGCACCGGGCCTTTCCTTGCCGCTGAGGGCCTGGCTTCGGCGCTGTGTGCTTCTCCCGGTCGGGTTCTCATCCCTGCCCTGCGGAAGGGGAGGGCCTGACGTGAGAGTAGGCTTTGGGTGGCCTGGCAGCCAGTTCCTTTCTCTAGAACAGTGTCACTCATGTCCCCATGCCCAGATTCTGCTTTGCCCCTTGAGGTAGTTGATGAGTTATTTCTCCTAGCTACTAATATTTTGGTAACTTCTATTTTTTAAAATTTGTCCTGGAAAACTTAATTTTCATCCGAACACTAGTAAGGTACCATGATCTCCTCTTGAGATTCTGATGACCACCTAGGGGGTTTTCCCACTTGAGAGTTGTCACTGTGAGAGGTCAGAGCAGTCTCGGGCCTCAGGTGTGCACAAGCAGTGCTGGCCCAGCAGACAGAACGGGGCTGTCGGGGTTAAACGCTAAGGAGAAAGAACCGGAAATGACTCTAATAACTATTTACGTAGCCTTTCCATGGTGCTGGTTAGTGTAGGTCATCTAGAGATGATCTCAAGTACCTGAGAGGATTGTGTGTAAGTTCTGTGCAAATACTGTGCCATTTTACACAGGGGCTTGAGGTTCCTTCTGTGTCTACTAGGGAGGGACCCGCACCCCATAGACACTAGGGGGAACCGCTTAGGTCACAGGGCTTTGGGGAGGATTATAACAATTGCATGGCCAAGTCACAGCCAGGTCTAGCCCCTCAGTACACCTGACGGGGTTTCCTGTCCCTCGAGGCCCTGAGCAGCCTCTCACTCCTCATGCATCGCTTTCTGCAATAACACTCTCCGGGTCTTACTCCGAAGCCGCGCCCGTGGGGAGCCTCACCGGTGCTGGGGGTTTGTGACGTGGGTACCTGTGCCCGGGTGGCTGTTCTAGATGCCCTGAATATTCCAGTGTGTCCCTGGAACTGGGAGAGATTGTTGCGAGAGCAAACCCCACACGGATGTGAACGGGGCTGCTTTGTTTTGAACAGGCGGCGGCAAGCACGACTCCAGAAAGAGCTTGCGGAAGCGGCGAAAGAGCCTCTGCCGGTTGAACAGTAAGTAGAAATCAGCCAATCAAAGTTCCGCTTTAATGCCTTGTCTCATTTTAAATAGTTTTATAATGCTTCTATTTTTATAAAACCACTTCTCAGGTTTTAGAAAGAGGCCTAAAAAGTTAAAGGCACAAAAGCAAAATGTAATTCTACCACCACCCAGAAAATAACAACCATTGTGTGTAAGTTCTCTGCAAATACTGTGCCATTTTACACAGGGACTTGAGGTTCCTTCTGTGTCTACTAGGGTGGGACCCGCACCCCATAGACCCTAGGGGGAACCGCTTAGTTGAGTAATAGCAACCAGTCATTTTAGTTGTATTTTGGTGTCTTCCGATTTCTCACTTAGAAATAACACAGTGGATGTGGCCTTTGATCCTGTTTCTGTTTAGTTATCTGGGCTAGATTCATAAAAAGTAAAATGGTCTGGTCATAATTTTTGGAACATGTTGCCAAATTACCTTACAAAAAACTGGTCCTGCTAGGCGTGGTGGTACACATCTGCAATCCCAGCACTCAGGAGGCTGAGGCAGGAGAATTGCTGCTGCATAGTGAGACGCTGTCTCAAAGACAAAAAGGGGGCTGGGCATATAGCTCAGTGGCACAAGTGCCTGCCTGGCAAGTGCAAGGTCCTGAGTTTGATTCCTTATCCCCCACCGCCCCCCAAAAAAGCTGTTCCTGTTTATGCACCTCATCAGCGTCAGTGGCAAGCATAAATCTAGCTTTCCTGCACACAAATCATCTCACTGTTCCCTGTTGACGCTTTAATCCCTTGTCTGCCTTTGACTGGGCCTCTCACCTTGTAAGCTGGCCTGAGGTTTGTTCTCTTACTCAGTTGTTAGTTTATGACTTTGAAGGGCAAGTTTTACCAAATCTTTGAAACATAACTGAAGTCTTAGAAATGTGAAAATGCGCCCTTGGAACAAAAGGACTTGAGTCTGTTGTGGAGCTTTTCCTAATCTGCTTGCAGGTTGGAAAATTTTTTGCTGAGATTTATAGCTTGGTTTTGAGAGAGGTGGATATTTTAGTAACAAAACTTCCTTTGCTGTAGATGGATTTCTTTTCTGTTGAAGTGTGTTTTGAAAGATAGTTTCTGAATTATTATTTGCTATTAAAATGAAGGTTTTTTCCTTATAAGTGGAGAGGAGTGGTTCAGATTCAGTTAGGAGTTAATTGGTATGAGTTTGGATTTATAAAAAAACAAAAGTTGTCCCACTAAACCTTTGCTGTAGGTAGGTATGTGTGTCTCTTGCCAGCTTGTATATGTTTTCTTAAAGCCACAAAGTAAAGTGGTTGACCCAGAAACAAGATTTAGTTCTTTAAAAAATAAGTTTACAGTTGGGTGTGGTAGTGCACGCCTGTAAGGCCAGGTCCTGAGGAGGTGGGGGTGGGAGGATGGAAAGTTTGAGACCAGCCTGGGCAACTTAGGAAGGCCCTCCCTCAAAATTAACTTTTTCAGGGGCTGGGGATTTAGCTCAGTGGCAAAGCGCCTGCCTGGCAAGCGCAAGGTCGTGAGTTCGGTTCCCGGTACTGGAGAAAAACCAAAACCAAAAAAAAAATTAACTTTTTCAGTTTTGTAGGGCAGGGTCTCACTTTGGTAGTTCAGGCTGGCTCGCACTTACTTTGTAGCCCAGGTTGGCCTTGAACTTGAGGCAGTCGTACTTTAGCCTCCTGAGTGCTCCAATAATAGTGTGCACCAGCACGCTCACTTCACTGTAAAATTGGGGGTGGTGGTGCCGGGACTGTAACTCAGTAGTAGCGCACCTGTCCAGCGGGTATGAGCCCCTGGGTTCAGTCTCTCGTACCACCACCCAAAGAAACGCTCCTGTTTACAAAAGCGTCGTTTGCCTGTTTGCCAGTTTAACCAGGTGACTGGATGAGACATGACCCTCGTGGGTCCAGCGGCCTGCCCGGGATAACGCGGGAATGGCCTATACTGGGATGCAAACTTGAGTGTCTGGCTGTAGAGGCTTTGGAAATCTGTTTGTCAAAGAGTGGAATTTCCAGGTTCAAAAGCACTGTCACCTTTGGAGGGTTTTCATAACGAGTTTAAGTTTCCTGTGCTCACAGTCCCTGTGCAGTCCCAGGTCCTCCAGGACCCGTAAAACGCTTAACATGTTCCCGCTGGCTTGAACCACTGGAGATAGGTGAGGCAGCTTATACCACTGTTGGCACTGTCCCGTGCCCCCTGATGGGACAGTCACGCGTGTGCCGCCGCCATGGTTCAGAGCTGCCCAGCAGTGAGACAGACGGGCTCACAGTGGCCTTCCTGTGAACGTGTTCAGCAGCATTGTTGGGGGCCGGGGATATAGCTCAGCGGCACGAGCGCCTGCACGCCAAGTGTAAGGTCCTGAGTTTGATCCCTGGTACCAGAAAAAAAAACAGCAGCATTGTTGGGGCTTGGCTCATTCTTGCTCTTGTGTCCGTCTGCCGAGTCGCCCTCCCATGAGCACAGGTGACACCCGCAAACTTAGATGTGTGAGGGGCAGCCCAGGAAGCTTGGGCACGGCCTGGCTGTCCCTGCTTATTTTCTTCTACATCCTGGCCAAGACTGGGACAGTAATGTGTACTCCTAGAATAAATAAAGGAAAATAAGTTTACTTTGACATGGTTTAACTTGCTGGGTAACAAAGTCTTAAGTATATATTCACATAATCCTCATTATGATTAATCACAGAAAAGGGAAAGTGTCACTTTTGAGAGCTTAAGAATCCAAGCAGTAGACGATAAATAAAGTCTTGGGCTACTGCATTTTATTTTTGTACTTCCCTACGGAGATTTCAGCTTAGCAGGAAGTCATTAAGACCAAAATAATCACTTGCCTTCCCCCTTGGTCAGGAAGACACAGCCTATAAAAACACGGAGGATGGAATTCCAGAGGTGTTTTGCATCCGGTAGAATAAACACCAGCAAAAGGAGTGTGTTCCCATGAGTGGCCAAAGTCACTCAGAATTCGATGGGCTCTCCACGTGTCCGCAGCATGGAGTGAGTGCAAGTGTGAGATGCCCGGGGTCCGAAACAGACACTGTAGTTAGTGTGCACATTTTGCTTTGGATACGTGTTCTCAGCATCTGGGTTCGAACAGATTCAGTTTCTTTTTTTTTTTTTTCAGTTTTTTTCCGGTACCGGGAACTGAACTCACGACCTTGCGCTTGCCAGGCAGGCGCTTTGCCGCTGAGCTAAACCCCCAGCCCCCAGATTCAGTTTCTTTTCCTGCTTTCCAAAGTGCCAGCTCTTCCCATTCCTCCAGCGCACCCTTCACTGCTGCCCTCCTAGCCCAGTCTCGGGTTACGTGGACTAGAAAACGGCATTGGCCTTTGCAGAGCGGGTTCGGCACAAAAGTCCTGATCAGCACAGTGACACAGCCTTGTGCCCTTCTTTCCAGGGACGATGACATTGAAGTCATTGTGGACGAGACCTCAGATCACACCGAGGAGACCTCTCCTGTGCGAACCGTCAGCAGAGCAGCCTCGTGAGTAGCGGTGTGGGCCAGGGCAGGGAGCACTGGGATGGCACTGGGACAGCACGCGCGTGCACAGGAAGGAGGAGCATAGCCTGGTGCGCCCAGACCCCGCAGCCCAGACCAGCCTCGCACGCCGCAGAGCAACGCGTGCCCCTCAGCCGCCTCCACTAGAGGGGTGGGAAGGAAGCAGAGGGCAGGTGGCCTCAGGCTTCCTGAAGACGGCCAGAATGACGGTTCCCACCCAGGGCGCTGGAGACTTGAAGCTGCCAGAGCAGCACCTGAGAGAATGGGGCCAGTTGTGAACACCCAGAAATCGCTGTGTCGGTGACAGAGTCCTGTCCAGGCTTGATTTCTGGGGAAATTCATTTCGTGCTAGGAAACCTTGTTTCTTTGAAAACCTCTAGGCTGGATTTCCCTTCTGCCTTTCCCATTATTTCCTGGCGGTTCAGACACTGTGCTGAGTCTCTCTTGGCTGGGATTTGGGAACTGCATGGGAAACGTCTTCCGGGGTACCTGTTTTTATGGGCTGTTTTGATTGATTATTGGGGCAAAATGTTTCTCAGGTTTAAACCTATCCTCCCCTCCTCTTTAGTAAGCGACTCTCGCAGCCTGCTGGAGGCCTTCTGGATTCTATCACTAATATCTTTGGGTAGGTTAGAAGACTTTCCTTTTTAAAATGTGTGTAAATGTACTTAAGCATACGTACATGGGTTGTTCTTTAAACGTGCAGCAGAATCAGTGATACAGAGTACGGATGCCTTAATTTTGGCTTTTCGTTTAGCTTCTTCCTTTTTCTTCAACTTCCTTTCTCTTAACCCTGCTGCGTGCTGACCTCTGGCCTTTCCCTTTAGTCTGTCCGACTCTCCCCTCTTGGGACATCATTCTTCCGATGCTGCCAGGTGACAACACCCTGCCCTCTCAGCCCAGCATGTGAATGTGGGTCGTTGATAACCATGCTGACCACGCTGTGCCGCCCGCAATCATATGTTCACATGCTAACCAGGACGCTTTGCATGCTCCTAGGAGTGAGTGCCGCTCGCTCCCAGCCAGCCAGGCCAGCGGAGCTCCTTGTTCGGTCCCTGCTCCTGCCAGCACTGTCTCCTTTGGCATGTGTTCAGCTCCGCCTTGACCCCATGTGTACACCGAGAGTGATTGTAACGAGGTGTAAACATCATCTTAGAGTAGTGTTAAAAACATACGAAGAGTCAACTGCTGAGCTCTTACATGAAGTGGACAGAGTTCACTAGCAGTTGATTGATAGGGTGAGCAGTTGTTCAGGGCTGCTTTTCTATGTGGTGTTGGAAGCTGTGCGTTAGCAAGCGGGAGGCCAAGGCGTACGCTGGCTTCCTTCCTTGTCGTTTGAGCGAGGGCTTCTCATCTTGTGAATCCTTTGGTTTGAGGATCTAGAAGGGAAGAGAAGCTATTGACACAAACGGTGTTGCTGAAGTGCGTTGATCTCTGAGGCCTGACAGCCTGGTGAACGGTGGTCCTCTGCCGTCCCGTCTCACACTTGCCTTTGTGTTGTTCCTTAGGAGACGCTCTGTCTCTTCCTTCCCAGTCCCCCAGGATGTCAGTGTGGACGCTCATCCTGGGCCCGGTAAAGACGTGAGGGTCCCCACCACTGCCTTGTGTGTCTTTGTGAGTATGCCCCATCCCCGCTGCCCCCTGGCTGGGCCTGGCACAGGGCTGGTGCCGAGCTTTGGCTGTTTGTGTACACCAGGCTCCTTAGACCGGCTGGCTCTGCACCTCGGCACGGGTCATATATTCTGCTCAGCTTCAGAGCACAGAATTTATTGCTGCCATCCTCTGAACCCAGACTGGCCGAGAGGGAGGCACGGGATGGGCAGCATGGGGAGTGGGACAAGGGAGAATAATGAGTCAGCGGAAAGTCAGAGGGTGGTGCAGGTGTTGCCTCCAGTTGACTCGAGTTTTGAGTGAGGTTCCAGGAGTTAGTGACAGCTGTTGGTTTCATAAATAAAAGTCCTGTTTGGTATATGACTTCGGCCATGCAGAGCCTGTGATTGGCAGCAGGACACAACCCTGGACAGAGGCCACTGTGATACCAGGACTGTCACTTGGAGGTCAGAGCTGGGTCGTGGTACTAACAGACAATCTGTGCCCCCCTCTGGGTCACCAAGCAGAAAGTGACTCAGCCTGGGGAGGGGCCCAGTGCCAGGCTTGAGGCTGTCGGCCCTGGGAAGACGGAAGGGCGATGTGAAGCGCTCGGAGCTGGCCTGGAGCTCTGGCAGGGGGGCGCGGGTGCGGTTGGCCATGGAGGCTCCTGTCTGCGGATGGGAAGACTTGCTGTGGAGAGGGCTAGCTAGCTGGTGAGCACCGTCCAGGCGTGGGGAACCCTGCTGACAGGGAGGCATTTCCACAAACACGGTGAGCTGCCTTGGCTTCTGAGTAGAGTCCCAAGTTGGAGGAGGAGTTGGACTGGGCACGCAAGGCCCCTCCGCAGCCCACCCTGCTCCTGTGATCCCACAGTGGGCCCGCGCACGTCATGGAGGTCGATGATGATTGGTAAAAGGTCTGATGCACTGAACGTCACCGTCCTCTCCTGGCCTCAGCTCCCAGCAGCCCGTCGTGTTTCCTGGTACAGTTAAGTCATGTGCACGGGGCAGCGGGGCAGCTGACACGCAGGGACCCTGTTGGCGTGTGTTCCTGAGAGAGAGCGGTTCACGGCCTACCCGGGTCCAACATGACCTCTTGCACAGGAGCGTGACGAGGGCTGGAGGGCGTGACAGTGCATGATCTCAAGTTTTCAATCTGAGACCTCCAGGGGGAAAGGCATTCTTTTTAGAAAATGGGAAAATTACACAGCGGTAAAAAGTCTGGTGAGCTGTCTGTCAGATTCTCAGCAGCCAGGGAAGGTGAGAGATCTGTCAGCAAGGTGCCACTCCTTTCCCAGCCCGTCAGAGGTGCTTTCTGTGTGCGTGTCTTCTGGGGCAGTTCCCCACAGCGACTTCATCCAGAACTATTTCCGCCCGCGTCCCCATTGTGGGAGTGGGCTACTGGGATGTCTTCCGAGGCTTCCTCCCTTCCCGAACGAGGTGCTTTCCTACCTGGCTCCTCTCCTCAGCCACACGTGCCGTCTTTTTAGCCCAGTTGTTCCCATGTTGATGTTCAGTCCTGGAGATGTTCTGGGAAGCATTTTAAATGCGTGTGAAATGACAGCTGATACAAGCATTGATGGCCTAAAGCATTTCTGTACATGAGCAGACTGAGACTTCACAGCAAGAAGAACTTGGTGGAGGTCACAGCGCTGGCACGGGGTGGTGCCGTAATGTCCCCACAGAGAACTCCTTGGGTTCTATTGTAGCACGGCAGGTGTCTGGCGGTAGGACCGGCGCCTGTGCATATCAGGAGTTGTCAAGGAAGCTTTGCCACGCAAGGCTGTGTGCTACACTTTATTCAGATATGTTGCGCTTAATATTAACTAATAAGCTAGTGATAGAGGGAAATGGAATAATCTGGAACAAAAGGGGCATTTTAATTCTAGACATATTTTTAAACTAATAGGATTATTGAGATGTCTTTCTTAGAAAAATAAAATTAAAAACAAAGGCAAATTTTAGGCAGGTGGTCTGCCCTGGCTCGGGGTCCCGAGAAGGTTGTGCTGTAACTGTAAGATGGTGCTAGAGTCAGCCACAGGAGACCCGGGCGAAGAGGCCACTTTAGTCCAGGTTTGGGCCCGCCGCCGTCTCGGGACGCGTTCCTCGCTTTGAGTTGGGTATTTGGGTGTGTGTCTTGCGCTTGCAGATGGTAAAGCTTGGGCTTGAAACTGCTCGCTTGTCTTGCAGGACGCACATGACGGGGAAGTGAACGCCGTGCAGTTCAGCCCGGGCTCCCGGGTGCTGGCGACGGGAGGCATGGACCGCAGGGTTAAGCTGTGGGAAGTGTTTGGAGGTGAGAGCCCCTCAGACTGCGGAATAGGGCTGTGCTGTGGCAGCCGGTTGACCTTGCTTGCAGACACTCGGAGTCGCTCCTTGAGTTATTTATCTTAAAACACAAAGCGTTGTATGGAAGGAGTCATCTGACCAAAGCATCGTTAGCGTTTCGGTTTCTTTTTACATCTGAGTAGATGCATGCTGTGATTTCCCAAGTAGTGGCAGAGAAGACTGCCGTTACGGATCCACCTAGTTAGAAAGTCTTAGGTAGTTTTCCTCACGCTTAGCAGAACATTTGCAAAACAGCGTCAGTGTCAGAAGAAAAGTTAAATCTGTTTAATTAAGACTGCACATTAACTGAATATATGCACCGTGACAGCCTAGAAAAGGTATGTCTAAGCTTGGGAAAGAGGAGTACTCCCTAAGAGAAAGTGCCGGAGCCAGTGGAGGGGTGCAAGCCCCTCCAAACTCGGATGTGGGGCGTGGCTTAGTTTTGGCATCTTCCAAATCTTCCAGATCCTGCTGAATACATGTATATCGTTACTAAGCGTTAGGGAGTAAGGCCAAAGGTTCTTTGGAAACCACTCTGGGTTTGTAACTTTAAAGAGGGTTTGGGTGGAGGTCAGTACTAAAACAGTTCCCCAGCATGTACAACGAATGCTCCATCCCAGCACCACTAAATAAATAAATAAATATTTAAATATTTTTTAAAGTTTCTGATCACATCTTAGGGAAAATTACTACCTCATGGATTCTGAAGTACAGTGGTCAGTTTCTGCAGAGTGGTAGTTGGCACAGACACTGATCAAACCCAAAGATTAATGTTAGTGAAGTAGAAAAAGTGACTGCGAAATAGTGGAACTAAATAAGCTGAATCTCAAGTTTGATTGACATGTTTTATAAAATCCTATACTTTCCTCTTTGTGAGGGAATTAATAACTAAATGTCTTAAAGAATGTTCTAAAAAAAACAAGAACATTCTAAGAACACACATACAGCTAGGCATGGTGGCACACGCCAATTATCCTAGCACTCAGGAGGCTGAGGCGGAAGATTGCTGTGAGTTGGAGGCCAGCCTGAACTCTGCAGCGAGATCCTGTCGCAGAATGAATCCAAGAAAGAACACATACAAATACCAGAGTCTGCATCTACTTAAAAATTGTTAGAGACTAGTAGTATATTTGGTCTTTTGTATTGTTTGTCCTACTGTTTGATTCTGTAAAGGTGCAGGAAAGCTCCTGTTGTGACAAAGTAATTGTCTTGCACTAAGATTCAGTCACTTGACATAATGTCCTGTCTTTTTCAATCCTTTCTCTTTGTACAGACAAATGTGAGTTCAAGGGTGCCCTATCTGGCAGTAATGCTGGAATTACAAGCATTGAATTTGATAGTGCTGTAAGTATCTAGTATCTGTGACTTCAGAGGTTCTTGAAGAACAACCCTATGACATTTGCTTGTGTTTGTTTGTTTTGAGATAGATTCAGCTATGTAGTCCAGGCTGGCCTTGAACTCATTATGTAGCCCAGCCTGGCTTTAGAACTCACAGTGATCCTCCTGCCTCAGCCTCCCAAGTGCTGGGATTATAGGTATGCGCCACCACGCCCAGCAAGACATCTGATTCTTGGAATTAAAAAGTAACTGACCTGGTTTCTCTGCTATTCTCTGTATCTTAAGTCAAACCCATGTTGTTAGCTGAGCTTGGTGGCACACACCTGTTATCCCAGCACTTGGAAGGCTGAGGCAGGAAGCAATCACGTCAGCCTGACTACACAGCAGGGCCCTGTCTCAAAAAACAACAAAAATCCATCTTGTTAAAGAAAGGGGGACATGGACGTTAGAACTGGTAGGTACACAAACTGTGACAAACCCTGAGGTGTAATTTGTGCGAAAAGCTGTAATGTTCCCAAGTCCATTTCACAGCCGTGTTTTGTGTGTTCAGATGCTGCGCTGTAGTGGCCAGCGTGATCCCTGCCTTTAGGGAATTCCGTTCAAGTGAGCAGTGTACCAGCACGAGCTGCAGGGGTTGTACTGAGGTGATGTGAGGTGGAGCAGCTGAGGGTCCCTCCTGGGGTGAGGCCTAGGGAGGCAAACGGGCAGTTGGAAGCCAGGCAGGCTCTACGTAGTGCCGGTGGTGGGAGCCAGGGCCCTGCGCGTGCTGACAAGCACCGAGTCTCATCCCCAGCCCAGGCAGCTTCTGCAAAGTGGTGGGCGTCGAGTTCTGGCGTGACTGGCAGTGTCGGAGTCGGTTAGGAAAGGCGGGACTGCAGTGAACGGTGTGTTCGGGCTCCTGCAGAGCAGATCCAGGCCCAGTGGGTGCTTGGGCAGGGGGCTGGAGAGGAGAGAGGCGGAGCTGGACGCTTGGGAGGAGGATGCTCTTGAGAGCGATCACTGGGCGATGGGGCAAGCAAAGAGCATCGGTCGGTCCCTCTGGGCTTTCTGGCTTGGGTTGTGTGTAGGGAATTGGCCTTCACTGTTGCCGGCAGGGCGAGTGGGGAGGGAGCAGCTGTGTGGAACTTGAGGTGTCCGCACGCAGGTGGAGTGTAGCCGGAGGGCTGGGTTGGAAGATGCGTGCGGAGGGCTGGGTTGGAAGATGCGTGCGGAGGGCTGGGTTGGAAGATGCGTGCGTTGACGTGCTGGGGTACTTGTTGGTGTTCAGACTAGGTGTGTAACGTTAGGCGTCTGCACCTTGGGTGGGCTAAAAGTTGTTTTTCCTTTCTTTATCCCTAAGGGAGCTTACCTCTTAGCAGCTTCAAATGACTTCGCAAGCCGGATCTGGACTGTGGATGATCATCGGTTACGGGTAAGGTGCTGTTGAGAACACTGCGCGCTGTGAAGGTGCAAAACACAGAAAAAGCAGCAGACGACAGGATTTATGTGTGACTCCCTGAGCGTCGTTCTTCCTTCACCCTTTCCTCGCTGGGAAACTGAGGTTTCTGCCCCACCCCCTCGCCTTGTCCGGCATTCGGTTTTAACACCACAGTAAGAGCCTCAGCTTTCCGAGAACCCCTGTTCATAAGAACTGGATGAGACAGCAGCTTCAGCTGAGCGGCACAGGTTTTAGTCCAGCACGTGAGTTGTGGATCCTAGGCCCTAACCCTGAAAGTCGCCTCGTAGGGCGTAGCTGGACGGTGGGATGTACAAGTAGGGGTGGACAGTCACACCTCAGTTCTCACTGCTGTGGCACTTGTCACATTCAGCACGAGACGCGCAAGCAAGAACGGGGCAGTGTTGGTGGCCCTGCGACTCTGCCCTTTCCGGTTGAAGGGGTCTGTGTGGTGCTCGCTGTGCTTCTGATGCAGTGAAACAGCTCCTAAAGGGGAAACGGGACAGGTGTAGAGGGAGGACAGTGGGGTTGATACTGAGGAAATCGTGCATTTGAACCCGACTTGATACCCAAGACAAAGCCCAAAAACTGATGGTTGTGTCGCTTGTGTTCTAACAGGAAAATCAAAAGCTGTGGCTTAATCTGCAGAGATTCTTGTTGTTGTTCGTTTTTGGAGAAAAGTCTTGTTCTGTAGCTCGGGTTGAGATCTTTCTGCCTCGGCCTGCAGAGTGCTGGGATTACAGGCTGAAAGATGTTTTTTCTCCTTGAGTTTGAATGAGTTGTGACATAGCTCATTAGATAAAATCACTGAAATACACAGTGCAGGGTACCGCTAGTGTTGGTTGGCATTTTACCAAAAGTGGGGCACAGCCGGCTGGCACAGGCTGTTTCTTACTAGAAAACGGCAAGGTGAACCCTTACATCTGCAGGGAGGCGGGGTCTGCGAGGTAGCTTTGTCGTGACCTCCCCGGGTGGTGCAGGCGCAAAGGTAGAAGACACTTCAGAAACCAGTTAGCTTCCCATAGGAGGCTTTCCGTTCCCCGGGCCAGATGCTGGAAATGTACAGTAGCAGGTGCCAGCCAGTACCTAGAGGTTAGGCATTCTTGATACTCAGCTGGATAGATCGGAATCCTGCAGAGCCTGAGCCCCGAGGATAACGCAGGAAGGTGTCAGAGTGCTGAGGAGCCTACCTCGGCTCTGGCTTGACGTGGGCTGCTCGAGACCTGCCGGGGGTCATCTCTTCAGCTCCCAGTTGTCATTGCAGCTCTGCACAGGGAGGGTGCCCAGCAGCACTAGTGCTGTGCTGTGAATGGCCTAAAGGGAGGAGATCTTCCCGAGTGACTGCTCTGTGGGAGACCCGGTGCCAGGCAGGCACTGTGCTGCAGAGCTATAAATGTTAGTGTGTTACTGCTTTCGGTCCTTCGGGAGGCAAGGCGAGGTGGGTAGATGAGGAAACTTAGGCTCAAGTACACCAACAAAGGCCTAAAGTCATGCTGCTAAGAAGTGTAAGAATTTGAGCCGGCTGTGCATGTGATCCTAGCCGTGAACTCAAGGCCAGTCTGAACTACGTGGTGAGACCTGTCTCAAAGGTTAAGAAACGACAACAGATTAGAACTTGTGGGCTGAGGATGTAGCTGAGCAGCATAGTGCCTACCTGGTAAGCACAAAGCACTGAGTTGGATTCCTGTTGTGTCCTCCCCACCCCGCAAAAAAGGAATTTGAATTAAGGCCTGGAGTCTTTCCTGTGTTTAACTGGTCTGGATTGTTCTGGAAGAGTGAAGTGACTACTTGTTGAAGAGGCACCGACAGGCTGGCTTAGCTTCAGCCCGGGGAAGAGGACAGGAAACAGTTGTGCGCACTGCTGTTTTTCCGCTGGTGAAAGAGTCGTTCTGTACAGGTGGGCATCGAGTTTTAGACCTAGGGAGGCAGTGAGCTGGCTGAAAAGGTGACCGGGCCTCGCTGCAGAGGGGGCCTTCGCCAGACAGCTGGTGTCGGGGTGCCAGGCGGACAGGTGGATGGGAATGACTATGTCCTGCCAGGGCGGTGGCCTCCCGTGCTAGGCCAGCTTGCGGCTGCCTTGGTGTCTGGTCCCTAAGTGAGAGTGCAGGGAGCTGGTGGCCTTCAGCCAGCTCTGTGCTCCCAGGAGTCTCCGATTAACCAGGGTGAAGAACAGGTGCTCCCTAGCATAGGAGGCTGTGACTTCCACACCCTCACCGACAGATGGCTTTAGAGGATGTGCATGGGCTGTCTGTCTGTCGTGTCTGTCACTAAGCATGTGGGCACTGCACAAGGCCGCTCAGTATCTCAGCTTTTGTGATAAGGATAAGGCAGTGGTGTGGGGAGAGACCAAAATTCGAGAAGCAGCTGGTTGGGGCCTTGTTTAAAACCCTCCTGCTAAGTACATCGTGGAAACAGCCCTCTGTAATGCCTCCCCTCAGGACTGGAGTGGACTGCCAGGCCACCTGGCCGCCCTGTTGGACACCCCTGGGTGCTGACCGCGCCTGTTCGCTTCTCTGGCAGAAGGCAGAGATGGCCACAGTAGGGGCTGGCTGGGGAACAGATGGTGGCTCTTACTTCCGAGCCCAGGCGAGCTACTTCTGCGTTCCTCCGGGCCGGAGCCCCGGGTTGATGTCAGTCTGCGAAGGTCACCTGAATGGCAGTTTGTGTTTAGAAATAGTGATCTGGACGTGGGGTTTTGCCTCAAGGCCCAGCAAAAACTTGTGCACAACCTAAAGGGAGTGTTAAATACAAACTTCAGAAACCCCGTGCAGATCGTAGAGTTTTAAATATGTCCAGCTCAGTTTCAAGGAGACTGATAAAGGCGAATGGGTACGTGCGGGAGCCCGGCTCCCTCCCACTGAGCGTGGAGGTGGCAGCTGCGGCTGAGTGCGCTGGGTTTGAGGTGGGCTGAAGCGGACACCAAGCCAGCGGCAAAGGGCCAGGGAAGGTCTCTTCCCTTTATTTCCTTAGTCCAGCCATTCTGGAACTGGATCCGAAGAACGGTGTGCATGCATGGGTGTTTGTTGCCAAATCGTTTGTGACAGTGACTTACTGTTTGCTGGCAAGGGAGGTTGTCGTTTAAATTACAGGCCCACCATGAGGCCGAAGCTGTGGGTAGTGACAGAAGACACCTAAAGAACAGAGATGCGGAGAGGATACAGGAGGCCTGGGCTGTGAACTGACCCGAGCAGTCCCATCTCTGGGAGTGGCGCTGGGAACTCAGTCTAGTGTAGTAACTACAGGAGGGTCTTTTGTTTTTATTTATTGCCTGTTTCATTTTAATCACAGCAAGTATCACAATTTTTTGTGAAGAGCAGCGTCTGTTTCTAACAAAGTAAGACTAAACAAAACATCTGTCAGGACTGGGTCTGTATGGTTAAACTTATGTTCCTAGACTCCTCCCCTGGAGTTAACCATGTATTCAGCCAGCGTTGCCCACATTCCTTCTGTGTATCAGGCCCTTTTCCAGAAACCGGGATAGAGAGTTTCTAACCTTGCCAGGTGTGGTGGCACACAACTGTAATCCCCAGCACTCTGGGAAGCTGAGGCAGGAGGATCACTGTGAGTTCGAGGCTGGCCTGGGCTACATAGTGAGTTCAAGTCCAGCCTGAACTGCATACTGAAACCCTATCTCAAAAAGATTTTTAAAAAAGTTTGTGTCCTTGAAACAAAAAGAAACTACATCAGGGATTGATAAATACTTTGAAGAAAAGTACTGTGTGATAGTAGGGGCTGCTGGAGAGAGGTTCACATATACTGACCACTGTTTTTCAGTATCCATTCTTCCCACCCGCTGTGTTAGAAATTGGAACACCTGCGGCGTGGTGGCACAGGTCTGCAATCCTCCCAAGGCAGGGGCATCACCGTGAATTCGAGGCCAGCCGTGCTACATAGTGATACCATTTCAGAACCTTAAAAAGGGACCCTTAGCTTGGTGTGGCCTTGTGAGTCCTGGTCCGAAGCAAATGTCAGTTTGAAGCAAATGTCAGTTTGTCAGTGATGTGAAAGTGAGCTAAAAGGGTAGGGTGGAGTGGTTTTTATTTCTTCCTCATTTCTTACTGGGATACAGAGTAATGGCTTGAGTCCTTGAATTCAAAGATTTTTTTTTTTTATTTTATTTTTTTTTTGGTCTTTTTGAGCTATGCAGTTCAGGCTGGCCTTGAGCTCACTTTGCAACACAGGCTGGCCTCGAATTCCCAACAGTCCTCCTGCCTCAGCCTCTCAAGTGCTTGGATTACAGGCATACGCCCCCATACCCAGCTCAGAGATCTTTTAAAGGCATTCTTTTTTAATTAGACAACATCAGTGACTACCTTCTGAACCTTTGGGATGTTTCATATATTTTTTTAATTTATTTTAAAAATAAGACAAACATATTAACAAACAGACATCCATTTACAAACTGGCATAAGAACAGTACAAACAATACAGAGTTAGAGACAAAGTTGTAGGAAATTAACAGTGGTTGTTGTGTTACGTATTGATATCTTCAAAGTGGTGTCTCAGGAAAACAAATGGAATGTTACATATATAAAAAATGTGGAGCCAAATGTGGCACACACCTGTCCTCCCAGTACCTAGGAGGCTGAGGCAAGTTTGAGGCCAGCCTGGACTATGTGGCAAGACTCTGTCTCCAAAAAAAGTAGCTGGTCGCTTAGCTAGATGTGGTACATGCCTGTAATCCCAGGACTCAGGGAGGTGGAGCAGGAAGATAGCAAGTTCAAGCTCAGCCTGTACAACTTATCAAGACTCTGTCCCTAGAAAAATAAGTAAATAGGAAGATAGAAAGGAAGGACGGACTTGGGATGTAACTTCGCGCAGCAGCCTTGGGTTCCATCTCCAGTGATGCCGACCCCCTCGTTGCCCAGTTGCCCGCACTGAGAGGAGAGTGATGAGGAATAAGTAATACAAGGGCTCACAGCCCAGGTCCCCTCCAGTGGTTCTGTGGTGGGCCCAGGGGCGGCTGACACGCGGTGAGGCCCCTTCTGTGTCCCTGCTGGGCTCTGGGGAGGCACTGCAGTTGGCGAAGGCCTTTGCGTATCTGGAGTGCTGGTAGCTGTGGCTGTGACCTGACATCTGACGCTCAGGCCTCTGATTGAGAGCGCTCTGGGGTCTTAATCACTTACAAGCGTCCTGATGTTTCCCTCGTAAATTAGGCCTTTGGCAACCCTGTCCTCCCTTCCAGTGTGGAACTGGATACAGTGCAGGCTCTTCGGTGTCTTATCGTTGTATGTAAATCCAGACCTTCACACTGTTCACACGACAGTCCAGGCAGGTGTCTAATGGAACTGATTTCAATGAATCCTCCACTCCTTGCTCTCTTCAGAAGACTCACCTTGTGGTTGCCGGGCCCTACCACTTTGGGCCTGGAGTAGCCCAGAAGCAAAGAACAGGACAAGAAGGAGCCAGGGTCCCCATCCATGTCCTCTGCACGGGCACAACTTCCATGGCTGACTTCCTCCTGCTGGAGTTTCCATACTTAATCGCTGGGGAACCAAGCCATGCCTCACCTTCTGGGAGAACCCAAAGGCAGGCGTTCTGAAAGTGTCCCTGAGCTACTGCGCAGGCCGGACATGCTGCTGCCGAGCCAAAACTGCCTTGTGCGAAACAAGCAGCGCTTCGGTTGAGCCTGAGTGGCTGTGCGGGGTGCTGGGCTGCTGCCCTCATGTGGCCCCGAGGCTCACCATGCTGCCTTCTCTCCTAGCACACACTCACGGGCCACAGCGGCAAAGTGCTGTCTGCTAAGTTCCTGCTGGACAACGCGCGCATCGTCTCTGGAAGTCACGACCGGACCCTCAAACTCTGGGATCTCCGCAGCAAAGTCTGTGAGGAAATTCAGTCTCTCTGTCTGTGTTCGCATAGGCCTTAGCCGTGGAGGCGGCGTGTCCGTTTCACATTGTAGCTTGAACTCAGGTTCAGTGTGACACGCAGGGGGCGCCGAGCAGGGACACTAGTTCTTGCTTGAGGTTCCCTTTAAGCCGGCGATTCTGAGGGTTCAGTGGACCAGGCCAGCAGTGTGTACATAGCCCTGTGGGTGGCTCCGCATCATTAATGGTGTTTGCTTTTTCTTCCAGGCATAAAGACAGTGTTTGCAGGGTCCAGCTGCAATGATATTGTCTGCACTGAGCAGTGTGTGATGAGCGGACACTTTGACAAGAAAATCCGTTTCTGGGACATCCGGTATGGCGCCTGGAGCTGGGGGAAGCAGACAAGAGTCTGCAGAGCTGCCGGGCACTTCCTGCCTGGGCGGCAGTGCTAAACTCTCGGGAAATAGCAGAAATGCACTCGAGGATGCTGGTAGCTTAACCACGACTCCACTGCCAAGGGGGTGCCCGAGTTTGGACCATTTATTGCCTGTGCGCTCTGGGGCAGCCCTTTGCCAGCCAGGTGGACGGGTGCTCATCCTGCCTTCAGGCGACGTAAGACGGATGGGGGCGCAGCATGTGTTCAGGAGCCGGCGCCCTTGCCAAGGCCGCTGGTGCTTACTATGCAGAAGTGAGTGGGCTTCGTGCTGCAGGAAAGGAAGCCGTCCCCACTGGCACGGCTGATGTGTGGCAGATGGGCCACATGGGCAGGAAGTAGGGCATAGGCCAGCGAGACTGGTAGGGTGCATTGGAATTAGGGCAGTGCACTTTATAAAAGCCATTTATTTCTAGATGCCTTGATTCTTGAGCCATTGGTTGTGGAGAAGGAAAATGACTGCTTCACAAAGAGTCGGGTGGATTGCTTGGCTGGAATTTTTATTGTTTTTTTTTTTGGTTTTTTTTTTTTTTTTTTTGGTTTTTCTCCGGTACCGGGAACCGAACTCACGACCTTGCGCTTGCCAGGCAGGCGCTTTGCCGCTGAGCTAAATCCCCAGCCCCCTGGCTGGAATTTTTAGAAGGGGCATTGGAGCTGGGCCCGGTGGCGCACGGCTGTAACCCCACGCTGGGTAGGCTGAGGCTGGAGGGTTGCTGTGAGTTCAAGGCCAGCCTGAACAACGTAGCAAGACCTTGTCTCACATGGTAGGATTTGGGAGGTGAGTTGGTGCGGACCTGAATTCAGGGCAGTAGGCAGGGAGACAGGAGAGGGGAGAAGGGAGACGTGGGCCGGGGCTGGTCAGCAGCCTGGGTCTGGAGTGGGAAAGGGAGCTGGGCCGGTCTTGCTGCTGGGCCGAGGTTGGAAGGAGGAGGCCGGTTGGTCAGGAGGGAGACATGGACACCTGGTCTGGTGGAGTAGAGGGCAGCTGGGGCCACAGCCCAGCCGGGTGCCGGGCTGCGTGGTCAGGAGGATGCTTTGGAAGGCAGTATGGACCCTGAAAAGGCCAATGGGACGCTGCTCACTCCTCAACACCCCTTCAAGTTCTAACTGAAACTTGTGCATGGCTTTTTTAAACCCATAGTTTGACCTCGAAACAGAATCGCAGGGTCTCACTGGATGAGACAGACCCCTAGCACACCTGTAATTTGACTGGTGCAGACCCCGGGTCTCAAGGAAGTGCAGTTAGCGTTCCTCAGGCCGCATGTTTAGGGTCAGCAGGGTTAGCCCTGCCGAATGAAAGGGGTGTCGGTTCATTCAAAGCTTACGGCAGAATCGCGTGGAAAGAGTCGGTGCCTCCTTTGGCTGCGATGGCACCGGCAGGGCCCTGGCACCAGGAAGCTGTCAGCTGACCTGGGCGGGCTGGGGCACAGGAGAATATAAAGAAGCAGTGATATAGGGTCACACAGGGTGGTGGCCCTGCCCGGGGCTCCCCAGTTCCATGCCTGGAGCAGCTGTAACAGCAAACACAAGGCCGAGGCCTGGTGGGCAGCGGCCCTGGTTAGCTCTGGCTGATCAGGAGTTCTGGTTGTGGGTCACTGTGTTGTCCACACATGGCCTGGAAATCCTCAGCGGGTTCCAAGTTGAGCACTCCATCCAGCCTGCTGCTCTGGGCCCCACGGGTGGAAAGAAGAAAGGCCTTTTCCTCCCCGCTAGGTCAGAGAGTGTGGTCCGGGAGATGGAGCTGTTGGGCAAGATCACCGCCCTGGACTTGAACCCCGAGAGGACCGAGCTGCTGAGCTGCTCCCGGGACGACCTGCTGAAAGTCATCGATCTGCGGACGAACGCCGTGAAGCAGACTTTCAGGTAGTGGGCGGCGGGGCTGGGCGGGGCTGGGCCACCTGCGTGTCCCTGGCGCCTGGCTGACGGTGCTGCTGTCTGTCGCAGTGCCCCCGGCTTCAAGTGCGGTTCAGATTGGACCAGAGTGGTCTTCAGGTCAGTAGCGGCGTCCACCCCCGCCCGCAGCCGAGATAACTTCGGTCAGTGACGGGGCGTGGAGTGGGCTGGGAGTCGTACTGCGGTCCCCGTCCCCATCTTGGCTCCTGTGGAGCCATCACATTCCCCTCCTTTGCCCTCCGTTACACCAGGCTGCCGGAGAGCCTTCGGGAAGGGCGGGACTGCTGAGCCCTTCGGGGACAGCCGCCCCCCACGTGCGGGCAGGAGCGGGTTGTGCTCAGAGAGGCAGCAGCTTTGCTTCCCAGGCGAGGCTGGAGGCGGCGGGTGGCGGGGTTGGTAGCTCTCGTGCCCCACTTCCTCCAGCCCCGATGGCAGTTACGTGGCCGCAGGCTCGGCTGAGGGCTCGCTGTACGTCTGGAGTGTGCTCACCGGGAAAGTGGAGAAGACGCTGTCCAAGCACCACAGGTGAGGCGGGCGCGGTCAGCGTGTACAGCCCCAGCTCACACCGGGCGGCGGGGGGCAGCGACGGCGGTGTCTGGGGGAGCGTGGCGTGGTGGCGATGGAGCAACGCCTTCCGTCTCCCGCCCTCCGCTTCCTCCGCCCCTCCCCCTGGGGTCTCCCCATCGGCCCTTGTCCGCGAATTGACTCGTGCTGAGCACTGGTGTTCGTGCACCGCTTCGCCTTTGCTTCCCCCCAGTGGGAGCCCCAACCCCGCCCGCCGGTCGCGCAGACCTGGCTTCCCTTCCGCTCACGCAGCGCTCTCCCTGGGCGGAGCTGGCCGAGGCCCGGGGCTTCCCTCAGCACCCTCCTGCCCTGAAGGAGCCCCTGCTGGGGGGCCTTGCGGGAACCCCCGCACGCGGGTCTGGTGTGTGTCTGGCTGAGGTCTCGGCCCGGCTACCAACCCAGTGCTCTTCTGGTCTCTCCTTAAAGCTCCTCCATCAACGCGGTGGCGTGGGCCCCCTCCGGCTTGCACGTCGTCAGTGTGGACAAAGGCAACAAAGCCGTGCTGTGGGCACAGCCGTGACTCGGGAGAAGCGCGGGGACCCCCCAGTCCTGTCCCGGCGGTGGCGTGCCCGCCCAGAGGAGCGCTGCTGCGCGTGGCCTGGTGGCGCTTCTGAGGATGTGAGCAGATGGCCCGCGGGAGCCCACACCGAGGCAGTCTGGGCAGGAAACACTGCGAGCGCTGGTCTTCCATACCTCACTGGGGAGCGGGGTCTCCTCGCGGTCGGCGGGGCCGAGCGCACTGCACGGCTGCGTGTCGGTCCGCGCCCATCCTTCCAAAGTCTGTTCTGGCCGGATGCACAGCCCCTCGCCCGGGGCACTGGTTGGACTGTGAGGACGCGCGCAGCAGGGGTGGGCGAGCTCTCTGATCGCGTCTTGTTAACTGCTGAACCGTCCTCAGGTCCCCTGGCCGGCCTTCAGAGCCTCCGGCTCCCTTCCCCAGCCCTTCTGCATGTCCATGTCTGGCGGGAAATAAACCTCAGTGTGGCTCACGTTTTGAGATAGAGGAGGTGTGCCAGCCTTCCCCGGGAGGTGCATTCTGTATCACCACAGGGCCCCAGCAGATGGGGGCGCCTGGCAGGCTGCTGGCGAGGAGCCTGAGGCCTCGGAGTGAACTGCCCCGGGGCTGGCAGCGGGAGCCGGCCACGCCTCTGTGCCCGCTTGCCTGCTGCACCCTTGCTGTCTGCTGCGGGAATCCCTGTGCAGGGCTGGCCCGGCGTCCCCTTCCTTCCCTTCCTGAGGCCGTGATGAAGGCCAGGCACAGTTCTCCTCCCACGTCCCCGTGTAGGATCTCAGCTCTGGGTGTGGGGCTCCGAAACGCCCTGTTCTGTCACGTAATTTGCACTTTATTTTTTTCTTCCACGCTTGTTCTCTGGACATTCGGGATGCGAGCACCGGGGAGGGGGCGCCGCGTCCTCCGCTCCTGGCCCTCACCGTGCTCCGATTGCCGTCCAGAGAACGCCGGTTGTGGGGAGCTGACGTTCACAGGCCGGGGCACATCTTTTATTTATTTATGTTGCCAAACAGAACTTGATTATAAATTTTTTAAAATTCTGTTGTATACTTTTCAAATTCCTTGCGTCTTGGTGGTTATTTCATTCTTTATTCTTAAGAAGGGAGAGAGGAATCTGATCAGCTTCTCTGGTGTGTGTGCTTTGCAAATTACGGTTGCTACTTTCCTAGCGTTTTTCTGATTGCTCGTCCTGTCACGCATGGCAGAGAGCAACGCTTGTAAACATCCGCACTCCCCTTTCGTGTCCTGTGCAGATCCCGGCCGGGGCCTGGAGCATTGGGAACGTATCTTCAGGACTGCCTGGCCCCGGGCAGGGCCCCTTTTTCACCGGGTTTGTGTGCACCGCCTCTCAGAAGAGTGGCTTGCTCCGCTTCTCGGCTGCCTGGCGTGCAGCCTGATGCCACCCCTTTGGAGCCAGACATGGACTCAGCCCAGCAGCGGCGTCAGGTTCCCGTGATCTGAGGCCGACAGACCTGCTTTGATCCACATGGGAACACTGCAAACTGAGGATTAAAGGATAGGAATCGCTTTATATTCCCTAGGCCATTTCCCAATCTGGTGTGAGAACCCAAGTTCAAGGCCCTTTCCTGAAAGCGTATGCTGCCCTTTCTCGTGTCACAAAGCTCCTCCTGCATCCTTCACGGTGGGCAGCAGGGCCTTCTGTGTGCTCCCTGGGATGACAAGGTGGAACCCCCAGAGGAGATAGGCGTGGAAAGGCCGGAGTGCTGAGTGCTGCATGTCTTCCCAGCCTGGGAGGGGCGCGGTGACTCGTCAGCCTCTGCAGGAATGCTTGCTGAGCACAGGTCCCACAGTGCCTTGGACAGTGATGAAGTGAGCCTGCAGTGCTCAAATCTGTCATGGTCCAAATCACCTCCCAGTGCCTAGAAGGGCAAAAGTTCCACAGTGGGGCGCAGTCCTGAGCCCCAGTCCTCAGCCCTGGCTGCGCTGTGGGTTCCATGCATGTCAGAAATCATGAATCTGCAACTGCAAGGGTTGGGCAGAAGTGCCTGGGGTGCAGAGTGCTCGCTACCCCCACGGCAGAACCCCAGAATGGTTCCTACTGCCCCCCTGAGCCAAGTTTGATCTCTGGCCTTGGAGCCGTGGCTTTCTTTGCGAATCTCCCCCAGTTTCCGCCTTTGCCTCTGACCCTTGCGGGCCCGTTTGCTCCAGATGCTGTTCCCGATCTCGCTGAGACGTGGCCACGCTGACCTCGTAATCCACGGCTGAGCAGCAGGCACAGTGAGAACCCCCTCGGGACAGAGGAGCGGCTCCGAAGTCAGCTGTGAGGTGCCCCCTCCACCTTGACAGTTTGGCCAGGGTGTATAGTTCATGTATCCCCAGAGTATTTTGTTCGTTTGGTTTTGTTTTTTTTTCCGGTACCCCAGAATATTTTAAAGCTGACTTGATGTGTCGCTTTACCTTTAAGTCGCCACGCGTTGCAAACTGATAGGGATACCAGCCCTAAATCAACACCTGCTAGAATGGATACCTTGCTAGAACACCCACTGTCCAATCCATTCGCAGATTTTGCTGATGTAACGATGAGGGTTTTTTATTGGCGACAAGGTTTCACCGTGTAGTGCAGGCTGGCCTTGAGCTCAGGAATCCTCCTGCCTCAGCCTCTCAAGTACTTGCCACCATTCCCTGCAAGTTTTTTATGATTGGTTGAGTGGATTCAGTTAGCTTCTGCTGCAGAACAAACTAGCTAAAAATGCAAAGGCTTAAAACTTGCTCTGTGAGTCACTGGCCAGGTTAGGGCTAAGCACCTGGAGGGTAGCTGGGTCCTCCCACCCGTACAGCAGGGACCCCATGGGGCGCCCATGGGCAGTACTGATGGGGCACAGGAAGGCTAAGCCAGTGTCCCTGTCACAGGACCCCTCAGTGGGATGTGGGGCCTAGGGCTACAGCCTGGCGCTCCCCACCCGACCTGCCGTCCCTGGAACCCGGAGCACCAAGTGTCCTTGCATAAACAAGTTGAAGTCTGTCCAGGTCAGGCCCCAGAGGGGAGGGGTCTGCATGCCCACATGATGAGCACCCGCGTTCGGATTGTGAGGGATTCATGCGTGGAAGGGACGTTAGACTGAGTTGGAGCAATAAGGGAAGCCCCTCACACCTGACAGGACTTCCCCACGTTGTTTTAAGGAAAGTGGATTTGGAAGTCAGTCAGTCCCTGCTCCTTGGACGCATTCAGCAACCTGCTGGGGCCATCGTAGAAGAGATCTAAATAAGTAAGATCCTGAGAGCCCACGGGATTGCTCTTACGACTAGATATCATTAGCCAGCCTGATCCGAGACCGCCCTCTATCCCAGAAGTGATGTGTCTGCTCAAAGACACAAGCTGGAATGAAGGTGGGGCTGTAAGAAGCTGACTGCCTGGCACTGCACGATGCCAGCTGCCTCCAACGTCCCAGTTCTCTGCACAGTAAAACTATGGCAGCCAGCACCGTTGCCAGTTTGTAGCACCCTTAGCAGCGTGCTGTTTCCCTCACCCACGGCCCTAGTAAGCCCTTAGCGGCATGAGCTGGCCCCAAAGCCAATAAACCTCTTACTGAACACTCCCACCGAGCCACTGACTGCCGCCTGCGGCCGCTGCTGAACTGAGGGTTCAGAGCAGAGAAGCAAGCCTTAGCTTGCTGCAGGCGACTCCAGGAAAATGTATCACCATGGCCAGTTCTTCCGGGTAGTAAGCTTCATGAAGTCTAGCTGGGTGAGGTGGCCCATGCCTGGAATCCTAGCATTCAGGAGGCAGGAGGATTGCTGCGTGTTTGAGGCAAGTCTGGGCCTCATAGTGAGTTCCAGGCCACATAGACCCTGTTTCCAACAAAATAGGGAAAGTTACCTTTTTTTCTTTGCCAATTAAGAACTTTTATCTCAGGGCTGGGGGTTTAGCTTAGGGGTGCGGCACCTGCCTGGCAAGCGTGAGGTCCTAAGTTCGATTCCCGGTATCCAGAAAAAAGAACTTTTTTCTCAAAAACTATATACTTTCATTTTGTTTTGTTTTGTTGGTACCATGGAATCAAACTCAGGGCCTCGTGCTTGCCAGGCAGGCACTGTACCACTAAGCTAAATCCCCAGCCCTACTTTCATTATTTTATAAAAAGAAAGGCCATTTTTGTCCTTATGCATAGGGGTTGCATTGTGACACATTTATGCGTGAAAGATGATGTCTGCATTTACTTTTTTTTTTTTTTTTGTGCGTTTACTTTCAAATGGATAAAAAGAAAAAAGCATCCAACAGAGTTGGACACACATGAGTGCAGGCAGCAAAGTGTTGCCGTGGAAACTTGGGGCCGATTGGGTATTCACTGTATTTTCTTCATCCAACTTTTCCTATGCTCTGAAATTTCACAATAAAATTCTAGAATGCAGAACTAATGATGGGACAGTCTGTGTTTGCCCGAGGCTCTGTGGGGAGGTGAGTAGACTTGGTGCCAGGAGCTGTTGAGGGTTCAAGGGCTTGTTCAGTCTGGACTGCAGTGGGCAGCGCGGCTGGGTACCACTGCCAGGGTCCTTAGGCTGCGCACGGTGAGTGTGTGGGGTCTAGAGTATGTCTTGGGAAAGATGGGGGAAGAGCATCATGCCAGGAAAATTGAACTTCACAGTCTTAGAATAAGGGGCAATCACTTATATTTGATACATTTGGTTTTTAGAAAAAACTCACGAGCACCCTTATTTTTTTCATTTCTCCCCGCAAGAGGAGAAAACTTGATCACAGACCAGGGATTGGAAATGACATTCCCGAGAGAGAATGCTTGCTTAGCCGGGGATAGAGCTCAGCGGCACATGGGCCTGCCTGGCAAGCCCAAGATCCTGAGTTCGATTCCCGGTACAAAAAAAGAAAAAAGAGAAAATGCTTGTCTAGCATGTGTGAGGCCTTGGCTTTGAGTCCCAGTTGCCAAAATAAATAAATGATGGATGGATGGATGGATGGGCAGGCTCACCCGGAAGGTCCTGTCAAGTTGTGACTCGTGTCCGCCCAACTGCGCCCTCCAGCGGCCTGGCGGCCACATAGCATCACACAGGCCGTTCCAGGAGCCCCCCTCAGGTAGACACGGCCCAGCTTGCAGCCACCTATTGGGCTGCCTCTCTGCTAGGGAGATTAAAGAAGAGCCCTAGTCACTTCTCTTCCTCTTCTCTTTACACTCTGACAGGAGAAGTGAGATTGCAAAATACTACAAAATTCTCTCTCTATGCTTTGGTCACAGGAGCGGTAGTGATCCCTGGAGAAAATGTGAAAATCACAGCCAAGAAAAAAATGTTGCACAATGGAACCCTAGTGCCTCCACCACAGAGGGTACAGTGCAAACCCCTGCAGTTTGTGCTCAGGCACAGAGGCATCCATGGACCTTTCTATTCCAGTACTTTCCATCTGCCATACTGACTTCCCCAGGACCTAGACACCTTGTGTCCCACTGAGCATCCAGCTTGAGACCACACATTATATCTGAGGGCCGACTCCCTCGAGGGCCTTTTCATCCAGCGCATCCTCTTCGGTGCCATTGACTTATGCAAGACAGCAGGGACTTTCTGGATTGCCTGGCAGCTGTGTGGTGTTCTATGTGTTGTTCCTCTGTTCTCTGTATTCCTGTAAAGGCCCCATGGGTACCACTTAGTCCTGGGGGCACATCACATGTGTCGGGTGGCAAGTGCTGTACCACCGAGCTAGGTCCTCAGCCAGCACCCTCAGGGGCAGCACCACTGACGTGAAGGTGGAGCACTGGGTCTGCAGGGCACCTCATGCTGGAGCTGTGATCCGTGTGCTTCACTCTGGTGCCAGGGGGACAGCCATCCCCCATCACCTCTTCTCCTCGCCATCTGACAGTTGGAACACCAGTGAGTCATCCTGGTGTTTGTTTTGTTTTGCTTATGCCGGGAATTGAACTCAGGATGTTGGCACTTGCCAGGCAAGTGCTGTGCCGCTGAGCTATATCCCTGGCCTAATCCCAGTTGTTTTAAAATGCCCCACTATTCAGGGGAAGCCAACAGATCAAGACAGTGTGTCACTGACGGTTCCTCAGAGGAGGGACACGCCAGGCCATGCAGAGCCACACAGGGTAGGTCTAGGGCTGGTCAGGGATAAACGTGGCGAGAGCATTTCTGTGGCTTCTCTGAGAAGGCACAGGCGAGGTGGGGCAAGCAGGCTGGGGGGCTGCAGTGTGGGCAGGCTCCGTGTCTGTGCCTGGCGCTGCTGTGGTCAGGTCGGGGCACTTGCGGCCTGGAGAGTGACAGCCTGATGAAGAGGGTTGGGGCATCCCGGGAAGACAGCTCTTCGCTGTCTCTGGGCGTTGGCTACCCAGCGAGGGGCGGTCTCTGCAGAGCCCACTGCCAATGCCTCAGAAGGGCACAGTGGTGCACACCTGTGACTGCAGGAAGGCGGGAGGTTGAGGCAGGAGGATCGTGTGACCTAGACAGCAAGACCCTGCCTCCAAAAAAATAGAACTCCAAAGGGCCAAGAAGGGTGTGGCGGGGCTGGGGATTTAGCTCAGCGGCACAGCACCTGCCTGGCGAGCGCGAGGTTGTCAGTTCGATTCCCGGTACCAAAAAAAAAAAAAATAAATAAAAAGAAGGGTATGACATAGAGGAGAGAGAGCTAGAGAAAAAGACAAGCAGGGAGCAGAAGGGCGTACAGCCGATGAGCTTGCTCCGGGCAGCTCGCCTGCATCCTGATGGCCCACTTGAGGGGTGACAGGTGGTAGCTTCACGGTCTCTGCCACACATGCAGCAGGACCTGGACGCCGGGGAAGGGTGTCGTCAGGTGGCAGGAGCCCTTAGGGTGCAGAGAAGCCCAGGTGGCAGTGTGGACTTACGAGGTGTCCCTGAGGCTGGGAGACACAGGCAGCGATGCTTTCGGAACAACAGAGGACCCCTGACATAAGTGACGGCGCAGGGCGGAGAAGAAGGGCCCGCCCAGCTTGGCTGGGGAACGCTGGGTTCACTCGAGGTGGCCATTTCTCCTTGACCTTTTCGCTTACATAATGCCCCCTGAGTTTAATCAAGTTTGTCATTGCACTTGAAAATCCCATCGTGATGATGCTGAGGAGCAAAGGGATAAGCGGTCTATTTCCAGAATCCAAAGAAGCTTAGGGTGCAAGTAGCTTTCATTCGCTGTCACTCCGCCCCGTGCACCTTCCGAAGCGGGCCAGACGGGCGGGCATCTGCCGGGTCTCGGCCTAATGCTTAGAACTGCTGAAACTACCAGTCCACACTCTCCACACTAATCCAATTTCCACTCTGCTCTGTAAATGGGATTTGGCCTCTAGACCCTGAGACCTGGACGCATCCTCTGCAGATCCCCTACAAATTCCCCACACATCCGTCAGCCGGGCCCTCGCTCGTGCCCCTCTGGGGTCATCGGTGACAACACCCTCTGGCCCAGACAGGGCCGGTTGCTCATCGATCGAGGGCATAGGGACCCTCTCTGGACTCTTCCGGCATCCTGTCTGGTTGGTGACAATTTACAAGGTATGTAACCACCGCGATCCAAACCTTCTCAGAAAGCCCGGGCAGGAGCGGGGTTGGCAAGCATGGGCAGTGTCCTGTGGTCAGACTCCGGTTTTGCCTGTCTGTGTGCTTCTGAGAGTTTTTACTTGGAGGTTACTACGATGTCTCTTTATTGTCCATGAATCTAAGTAGAGGAAACAGAAGTTGCTGGAAAAGTAAGAAGCTCCTGCTTAGCAGGGTCTGCAGGATGGAACTTGGGACACTTGCCGTTCTGGAAAACTGTGAAGTGGTTATACTGTGGGCTTTAGAAACTTTTTCTGATTTATTTGCTGTGAGACCTGGTCATAATAGAATTTGGTTTCTGCCTAAGTGTGATGACACCAACAGTTATTCAGAGTAGCAAAACCCTCTCATTGCATTGTCACTGGACTTCCTGGTGAGGTTACCAAGAGATGGTAGGGACTTAACAAGAAAACTAAAACACTTAAAAAATGCACAGCATAATGAAATGCAAACGAACCAAAGACCCTATTTTCTCAAACATGCATGAAGGAAATTCCGATGCATGCACCACGTGACATGGGCAGGCTTTATGCCTGGAATGTTCTTGACTTTTATGTTTAGGATCGTTTTACCTCTTCCCAGCCCTTTGATCCCTGACATACATCCCAAGGTGGAAGACCTTGCCGGGGACAGACAACATGGCCAGCGCGAAGTCCAATAAGTCACATGTCATCTTCAAGAAGATCTCGCGGGACAAATCGGTGAGTGGTACAGGAGTGAGTGGCTTGGTGCAAACTGTCGTAAAAATAATAGTGGGACCTTTCTGAGTATAGCCAAGATCAACAGCAAAACCCTGTGGATGCCGGGAGTCCCCGTGTCTGCTTCCCGTCTCTGTCTGGGCCGGCAGATGGACAAGACAGAAAGGGGTGAGTGGCAGGGACAGAGCTTCTCTTGCACCCGTGGAGACCTCAGTGCTGCGGCCCTCAGCCTTCTCCGGGTCTCTCTGTCCCCACGCCCTCCCAGCTTCACCTCTCTTCCTAGCCATCCTTGAACCTTGATACCTACCGCATCTGATCCTGCTTTGTCAACACCCGGGGCCTCCTTGGCCCTTTGTCTGCTACGGCGCCTACCTGGGGGAGCCTGGGTGCTGTATGGATGTGATGTTTTCCTGTCTCTGCGTCACACTACGGCTGGTGTCCTGGGCCACGGGACAGGGGACAGGGCAGCTCGCTCCGCCCCGCCATTCTGCACTGTGGCTTCCTGTCACCAGGAACTTGGTAGCCAGCACATTTGCAAGAATGATGCCACTGGGGCCGCTGACAGCGTGTGCCCATGCACGCGTACACACACACATACACACACACACACACACACACTGTACACACGTGTGTGCGCGCTGCTGAGGGAGCAGGCAAAAAGGCAGATTCGTTTCTTTCAAGGACTCCCATCGACATTCCCGACATTCCCGTCTGGTGACGCAGTTAACGTAACAAAATAATAGCTGACTTACTGACATCACTAAGTATGATGCAAATTCCACTGTGGAAACTGGAATCTTCACCAGGATCTAGAGTCAGAAAAAGCCTAGCTTCAACGATTCTGACTTGCATAGGCTGGGTGCTCACAATTCTCAAAGTTCAAAACCTTCCTTATCTCAGGAATGTTCATCATTCTTCTCAACTTCTGATCTCTCCAGTTCCAGTCAAAAGCCAGAAACTGCCTGTAATCCCAGCACTTGAGAGGCTCAGGCAGGAGGATCGCTGTGAGTTTGAGACCAGCCTGGGCTACAAAGTGAGCTCAAGGCCAGCCTGAACTGCATAGCCAGACCCTGTCTCAAAAAGACAAAGAAAGGGCAGCAGAAACTTTAAGGAGTTCAAGCTAAGGCCACCTTGCTTAGTGAGCTCTTCAGCTCTTCCTGCATTTCCTACTCCCAGGTCCTACACATTTCTCTAGTAACTTTGTTTATTTTTTTTCTTTATTTTTTGTTTTTTTTTCCAGTATCGAACTCATGACCTTGCGTTTGCCAGGCAGGCGCTGTGCCGCTGAGCTAAATCCCCAGCCCCCATCTCTAGTAACTTTAACTGCTTCTGGACGTTCACAGGTTTTGCAAACTTTTTTTTTTTTTTTTTTTGTCTTTTTGAGACAGGATCTCGCTATGCAGTTCAGGCTGGCCTTGCGCTCACTTTGTAGCCCAGGCTGCAGCCTCCTGAGCGCTGGGATTATAGGTGTGCACCACCATGCCCCACTCAGGTTTTACAGACAATTTCCTAGCTTTTTGGTCACCTCTGGATGCTGTCTGCACCCAAGGTGCTCTGGAGCTTGGACTGCAAAGCCACAGATGGTCAGCATCAGGACCGATTTCTTCTCCCTGGAGCTCTTCTGAAGTTTTACCCACTTAGGACAAATTTCGTTCAGGCAGGATGAAAAAGTCAAATCAACCTGGAGGAAAAAGAAGTCTGAGAGATTCAGTTCTTCTAATTCAGTCACTGAGTGATTGCTCTGTCATTCATCAGCTTCTGTAGGTCTTTGCTGTTCTTGGTTTGGGCTCTGATTTTGCGAGAACATCAGTAATTTTCTTTTTTTTTTCCTTCCTGGTCTTGGTGGTGTCTTCTCTTGCTTCCTTTGGTTGTATCAGAAAACATTCTCTGGGAGTTTCTGATGAGGCAAGAACTTCTGCTAGCTGGGCATGGTGGTACATGCCTGTCATGCCAGGATTCAGGAGGCTGAGGCAGGAGGATCACCGCAAGTTCAAGGCCAGCCTGGGCTCTGTAATGATTTCAAGGCCTGAAACTCATAGTGAGACCATGTCTCAAAACAACAACAACAAAAGAACTTCAGCTGTCTTCTGCTGTATCGTTTGTATTTCTCCTCCTTCACTGCCAGCTGATTCTCCCCCAGCCTGCATGAGCAGAGCAGACCCGCCAGACAGTCTGTGCGCACCTACAAGCTTCCTGGCTGGCAGAGTCCACGGAGGGCGGGGCACCCAGCTTCTGTGGGCCAGGTCTCTCTGCCCCTTAGAAAGCTCCTTCAGGGCCTCCAGTCTAGCTCTGCACACCCCATGCAAGTAGTATCTATCAATTCAAACCTTCCACATTAAAAAGGCAAGAAGAAACAAGAATTCATTTGAATATTATCTTTCATTTAATCCAGTATGTCCAAAAAAATTCCTTTTTTTTTTGTCTTTTTGAGACAAGGTGTCACTATGCATTTCAGGCTGGCCTTAAGCTCACTTTGTAGCCCAGGCTGGTCTCAAACTCAGTGTTCTTCCTGCCTCACCCTCCCGAGTGGGATTACAGGCAAAAAAGCTATCATTTCAACATGTAAACAATATAAAATTCCTAGCATGGCTTGCCTCGTTTTGCTCAGTTGTTGAAATGCGTCGTGTGCGTTGCCTTCGGAGCACGCGTCCCCTCGGAGGGCAGGAGCTTGTGTCTGGCAGCCGCCACGTCGGGCAGTGTAGCTCGAGCTTTCTCTATTAGCTGGCGGCTGAGCCCACGCGGGCCCGACAGGAGCTCTGTGGTCCTTACCCCTCCACGCGGCAGAGCTGGCCTTGGCACGCGGCCCCTCCCGGCCCTTTCCTCTTGGGCTGGCCACCTTCCCATTTTCATCAAAGGCTCTGATTCCGTGGGCGACTGTTTGGGCGCCCCCAGTTCATTCTGCAAGCTCGTTCCCTCCCCGTCCCTTTCCTGCCTGCATCTTGTCGGCTTCTAGCGGAAAGAGTTGTCGTTCTCTGTCATTCCCTGTCCTTCACCCTCCTCCGCACATTCCACACCCAAACCTAAACAGACATCCTTCCCAGCACTCGGGAGGCTGAGGCAGGGGGATCGTTGTAAGTTCGAGACCAGCCTGGGCTACAAAGTGCGCTCAAACCCAGCCTGAGCTGCATAGCCAGACCCTGTCTCAAAAAGACTAAAAACAGCAACAAAAAAGACATCCCTATTTATTTATTTATTTAGTTTTTTTGAGACAGCATCTCACTATATAGTTCAGGCTGGCCTCAAATACATGGTGACCTTCCTGCCTCAGCCTCCTGAGTGCTGGGATTACAGCCATGCACCTCTATGCCCAGCGCAGACATCTTTAAACCAAGAGTGTTACTCTGCCATGGTGGAGCCATCGGTTCATGCCTCCCATGTTACAGTCAGGTCAGCTGCACACCGCGTGCTCTGAGCCCAGAGGCGGGTTTGCTGCTCTTCCTTGGTGATGCTCCGCACCTGCTCTCTGCAGTTTCTCAACTTCCGCTGACCGCATCGGGGGTGTGGCTTCCTGGGGTCTCCTGAGGGCTGGGAAGTCTCCCACAAGCCCCAGCCCGCTTCCCTTTTCTCTTCATTGGTTGAAACCAGGTAACCTGCCCACCCTACACCAGTCAGGAACCAGGACTCATGCCCAGGGCTGAGTGTCTCTCGGCACCCTGCCTGCCGGCGGGCGTGGACCCCAAACACAACCAGCCCAGGTTCCCAGGGAGCCGTGGGCGTGGCTGTGGGCTGGGCACTAGAAGACCAAGGTGGTTTCTTATCACCCTGCCTCCTCTTCCGCCTGCCCCCACCCTCCCCCTTCCTCCCGTTGCCACAGAGGGTGTGCCCTGGCTCCAGGTCACCAATACTTACTGCCTGCATCTTGCAGCCCACCACCTGCTTGGGGGGTCCCTCGTACCCAAAGCTTTAAAGAGAAGGAAACGCTCCCTTCCTCTCCTCCCTTCCAGCCCACCTACCCTCCAGCCTTCCTGCCTCCCAACCACAAAGAGGCTGCCTACCGGGCTTCTTCTTGTTCATCCCACCTCCACTTTGCTGCTAACATGATCTAAGTCTAGGATTCTCTATAAAATAGGGTTAATTCTTGTCTCACACAGCTGGAATGAGGGAATGAAATGGTGTAGTCAAAGGCCACGCGCTCTGAGGCACCCAAAGGCTGGAGTGTGCCAGACAGGGCATGGAGGCTGGGGTGTGCCCGGAAGGGTGGACCCCGGAAGGGTGCCCCAGGTGGAGATGCTACTGAAGGGTCTGGCCTGGGGCAAAAGCAACATGAGCAAAGGCGCACACCTGTGACACCTAGGACACTCGGCACAGCTGCTGTGGCCCGGCCCAGAGGGGGGCAGGCAGTGGGAGGGAGCTCAGGGGTGGCCTGGCCACTGGGTGAGGGACTTGCTTGGCCTCATGCAAGGGCCCAGGGACCGAGCAGCCACAGGCCCGGGGAGCGGGTAGCACTGTGTTTGGGGCCCTGCGGGGGAGGAGTGTTTGTTAAGGCGGGGCAGGGGTGGGAAAGGTCTCAAGAAAGCGCTCTGAGGCCTCGTGGGGCTGGCCACAGCTGGCCGCTGGTACCTCCCTGGGCGGCTGGGCTGAGGGGTCCAGCCAGCCGGGCAGCCGCGCAGGCCAGCAGGGGACACACACCCGCTGCCCCTCCTCAGCGGTCCGGGCTGGGCTCCTAGCGCCCAGGCCCTGAGGCCTGAGGCCGGGGCTCCGCCCTGGATTTGCAGGTCTCCCACAGAACCTCTTCCATAAATCAGGGTTCGGCCGGCATTGGCTGCAAGTCAGTTTCAGCCTCAGCCACACAAGTAACCTAGAAGCCCCAGGACCCACGCTGCCACGCCGGGGAGGCGAGCACGGGGCTCGGCTTAACGGAAGCGCCGAGGCGCGCTTCGTGGAAGAAGATGCGCGCGGGCAAGGCCCGGGGAGGGCGGGCCGGCGGGGTGCGCCCGCTCCCTGGGGCCTGCAGCGAGCGCGGGCTGCAGCCCTGCGCTTGCCAGGCGCTGCGTAGCACCTGGAAGCCGCAGACGCACCAGTGACCTGGATGCATCTCCACAGACGCCGGCTGGAGCAGCCCTTGCTCTCCCGCAGGGCGGGTGAAGAGGCCTGCTCTGCCAGGGGTGCACATCCTGGCGAATGGGCCGGACCGTGGCTGTCCCCGCCCACCCGGCTCTGTCGCCTCCTTCTGTCGGCTAGGGAAGCTCCCAGGCTCCATTCGGGCACTCCGGCAGACTCCTGCCTTTTGTCCGTCCAGGAATTCTTAGAACAGGACAGGGGACCTTTCTGTCTGTAGCTAGAAAGAAGAGGCTTACCATGCTGGTTGTGGTGGCACCCGCTTGAATCAGCCCTCTGGGAGGCTGAGGCAGGAGGATCGCAAGTTCAAGCCCAGCCTGGACAGCACAGTGACTTAATGAGACCCTTTCTCAAAATAAAAATTAAAAAAGGGCTGGGATGTAACTCAGTGAAAAAGCCCAGTGGGATTCAGTCCCCAGTACCAAAAAATAATCTTACCATGCAAACAGCGGTGGGAAACCCCCTTACATAAGCGTAACTGCACCGGCAGCGGGCTCAGTGAGCACCTCACCTGGCTGACGTCAGGCCTCAGCTTGATGGAGAAAGGAGCGGGCTGAGGACAGAGCACAGCTCGCCTGAAACCCACCCACTGCAGAGCCAGGAAGCAGACGTGGTAAAGCGGCCCGGAGCCAGGTGTGCCTCTTTCCACCACTGAGGAAAAGCGCCGGGTCACAGCTGAGCGGCAGGTGCCTCCTAGGTGCTCACCAGCGCAGAAGAGGGAAATAAGACCCATGAAAGGATTTGGTGGTTGTGACTTCATTTATTTTATTTTACTTTTTAAATTTTTTTTATTTTTGACACAATCGGGCTTGAACTCACTATGGAGCCCAGGCTGGCCTTGACCTTGCTGTGATCCTCCTGCCTCAGCCTCCTCAGTGCTGGGATGACAGGCCTGTGCCACCACACCCAACTTGGTAGTTGTTACTTTTTTTTTTTTTTTTTTTTTTTTTGAGACAGGGTCCTGCTGTGTATTCCAGGCTGGTCTTTTTTCTTTTTTTTTTTCTTTTTTATAGGGATGCAGTTCAGGCTGGCCTTGAGCTCACTTTGTAGCCCAGACTGGTCTTGAACTCGCCAATGATCTTCCTGTCTCAGCCTCCCAAGTGCTGGGATTAAGGTGTGCTCCACCATGCCCAGCACCAGGCTGGTCTTGAACTCGTTATGTAGCTCAGGGTAGCCTTGTGGCAGTCCTCCTGCCTCAGTCTCCCAAGTGCTGGGATTACAGACATGCACCGCCATGCCCAGCTTGGTAGCTGTCACTTTTTGACACAGATGTCTCAGCTGAGTGTTCTTTGGCCATTTAGAATGCAGCCCTGCTCTTCCCACAGGTGACCATCTATCTGGGGAAGAGAGACTATATCGACTATATCAGCAAGGTAGAGCCTGTGGGTAAGTGAAGTTTGGAGTAAAATTTTATTTATGATGTTTTGAAATTTTGTTTTGAGACAGGGTCTCGCTTTGTAATTCAGGCTGGCCTTGAACTCACACAATCCTCCTGCTTCAGCCTCTGGAGTGCTGGGCTGACAGGCGTGCGTGTGCCAACACAGTGAGCCTGGGGGAAATTTCAAAGCTAGTTTTCCTTTATGCCAGAAAACTGCTAGTTTGGCATAAAAAAAAAAAAATCAGCCTCACTAGGAATCTAACTAAAATGCAAACTAAACCAGCAGAGGTGCCACTGGCTAACTGGAAAGAATTTTATTTATTTATTTATTTTGGTACCTGGAATCAAACTCAGGACCTTGTGCTTGCCAGGCAGGCCCTTGTGCCCCTGAGCTATATCCCTGGCCCTAGAAATAATTTTAAAGGGAATGAGACAAGACCGGAGATATATCTCAGTGGCACAGCACCCGCTTTGCGAGTGTGAGGTCCTGAGTTTGAGTCCCAGTACCAAAAAGAAAAAGAAAAACAAAAGAGAGAATGAGACAAAAGATTCATTTTTAGAATATATAAAAAATTCTCAGGACCCAACAGTAAACAAAAAAGCAAAATCCAGGTGTGAAAACAAGCAAAAGACAGGAAGAGATATTTCATCAGAATAGACACAGAGAGGGGCTGGGGATTTAGCTCAGCGGCAAAAGCACCTGCCTGGCAAGCGCAAGGTCATGAGTTCGGTTCCCGGTACCGGAGAAAAACCAAAAAAAA